ACAGAGCGTCTACCTTCCACACGAAAATCCCGGGTTGGAATCTGTGCTACGGATTTAACTTTTTCTTCATGTTATTTTATAAATTAGTAAAGTTCATAAATTATTTTTAAATTAGTTATTTTTTTCTTAATAACCTAATATATTTTTTAAATTTGTAGATGTTCGTTAGTGGGTCGTAGAAAAAATATAGTGTACAACAAAATAATGATTAAAAAACTAACTTGTGAAAAAATGCAAATAATTGCTATTCTTTTTCGCGTTATAATTTTTCCGAAAATGTCTCTTAAAAGATGTACTTTCCGGCACTAGTGCGGAACAGTAAATGGAAAAAAAATCACTTTTTCGCACTAGTGCAGGAAAATACATCTTTCTAAACTGAAATTAGTGTGAAATTTTACCTGGCATTTTCTGCACGCTGGTAAAAAATCATTTTATTTTGGAATATCAAAATTTTATTGGCAATTCTTAATGTATCAACTTTATTTTCAGAAAAATTTAAAATATTTTTTAGTATTTTCTTTAATGACACTTTTCCTAAAAAAAATTATGCTTTTTACTTTAATAAAAATGGAATGCGGATAATTTTTAAGAAATTTATGGTCAATTACATTATTAAGCTTGTATTCTTTGAATATGAACCTTTATAGAAATAAAAAAACGATATTGAAATATTGATTGTCCAAATCATTTATATTTAATTTTTTTTTTCAAATTTTGAGAAATAAAGTGACATTTTCTTTTTTAATCGCAGCAAGTGTCAACATGATCTACTTTACGCAACCAGTTGCATAATGTTGAACAAAGTATCAGATAAATATGAAGTTAGCAATAGTCATGTTGTTAGACAATTTGACATTTACCTACAATAACTAGGCATTTCGTAACTGGTTGCATAAATAGCTATTTTCTTCTTCTTCTTTTATTATTATTATTGATGCAATTTGAATTTGATAGGCTAGGTTAGGTCAATTTAGGTTGTTTTTTTCTTCTTTTTTTGTAGAATTATTATTACCAAATTGGTTAATTTTTTATGTTCCGATATTTTGCTATTTTCATACTTTGTAGTTCCGATAATTCGAAAATATTTTGTAATTTGACATTTCGAGTGATCATAATTTGGTAGCTTTAAGATAAATTGGAGAAGCTTTATATGCATATAATATTGATAAAAATATTCCTTCTTAAATTACACTGCTGTAGATTTCCACTTTCCAGGATCTATTGTTTGATGTAGTTGAAATAGTCATATAGTATAAAAGTATTATTTTAGGTATGTATATTTGAAATTTTCGAAGACAATGCAAAGTTTTTATAAGTTCCATATCTATTCAAAAGAAAATATAACTGTTTCCATTGACGAAACACAATCCGCATTTTGTAGCATCCAGAAAATTTGAATTAAAGTTTTGTTAAATTTAAAACTAGACTAAATTTAAAAATGATAATAATTATAAAACTCCGCTCTCTGGCAAAACTTCCTTTTTAATGCCATTATTTCATTAACTGAAAATATTCCCGTATAATTTCATATTTCAACAGGCAGGTAATCTAAAGAACAATAAAATTTAAAAGAGGGGTCATATGTTCGGTGGTAGAAAATTTTAATAAGGGACTTTTGGTAATGTCAGTTTGTTAGTGGTTACTGTTTTACTGCTGTCGTAAACTAAATTATCGTCCAGAAAATGGAAGCAGGAAGTTAGATAGGAAGTTTTAGTGTTGTGGTGCGATATACAGTATGTCTGAGAGAAGAGATCTGTTAAGTGCTTTCAATTAAAATTCAGAATTATGATACTACCAGCCAATCAAGGCTGTTAGAAATATTCGAGTAGAAAAAAGTCATCACTTAGGGTTCTTGCTGTCGTCACTTATACAGGGTGTCCCAATAGTGTGTGGAAGTTCGGTATAGCATATATTATAGAGAATATCAAACAATGTTATTTACAAAAGTTGTAGATAATATTAATCTGCACATTTCAAAATTATTTGAATTCCCCTGACTTTGCCCTTCAAGAAAATACCAACATGTATGAGGTTATACTGGGTATTTTGGAAGTTTAAACCAATTTTTATATGAAAATCGTACTAGGTTCAACCCTCTGTATATTTCAAAAGAAACAATCAAACATCAAAATTTTTTGATGAATCATTATTAATAATAGTCTACTTTTATATAAATATACAAATTTTTTCCTAGCGCAACAGACGTGTACATGGTGAGTTAAAACTCAGATACATGATTTTCTCAAATTTTTTAAATGTAACACCCTGTATTTCATATCAGTACTAAAAAGTACTCTAATTATACGTTCGTTTGAGTTAAATATTGCCTATCCCTAAACACAACAGTTTAGCTAGATTCTTAGATGAAATGTTAAAAAGGGTTAATTATAACTAAATTCACAATGTAATTTGATTTAAACTCCTGTTAAAATATACTGTTTAATCAGTTTATATTTTTAAGGTACCTAGCTACAATTTATTATCAACTGAATTTACTTTCTTTACTTTTTAGGTTAGGTTCACCCTGTATTTCATATCTCTACTAAAAGTACTGTAATTTTACGTTCTTTTGTCCCTATCCGAAAACACAACGGTTTAGAAGATATTTTATATTTGAATCACACTATTGGGACACCCTGTATATCAGGATTAAATATGTACTAACTAAAAATTCCAAGATTAACGCCTGCTTTAACGATTTACGTATTTATTGATCCGTAATTTGAAATACACAGTGTAACTTGTGTGCAAATATTGCCTTTGGAGACATGAACCTTCCCTCTCAATCCGCAGACAATTTTGAGCCCAAAAGAAAATAACAATGCTAAGGGTTTCTACTTTTCCTACGACCATTTCCGTTATCGAAAGAAATGTGACATGGGACAATAACGCAATAAGAAACAATCGATATTTATAAGAGTTGTAAAACTCGTTTCATTCATAATAATTTAGAGGTTAAGACGGTTTTCCACTAAAAGGACAGTTGAGTTTATGTTTTGTTTATGTTTTGTGCGACTTGAAAAACAAAACCAAAACTGAGACAAACCCTAAACTCTTGTTTCCATCAAGCGATACATTTTGTTTCAGTTTTGTTTTTGTTTTCGGTCCTTTTTCACTGGTTGTCGCCAGGAAGTCAGAACACATTTTTCAATATTTTATTTATATTTGTAATACCTATTTATTTTTTAATATAGGTTCAATTTCAAAATATACAGGGTGTCCCAAATTGTTTTACCCATGCTGTAACTTCTAAACCATGCAAGATAATTGAACCGGACAAAAGTCATCCATTATAATTGGCAGTATACTTTAAAACAAATAAAAATTTGATGACCCACCCTCAAAAACTACCCCACTGGAACAACCCCCTCAAATATTATTAACGACACCCTAATTTTTTTCTGCTCATTTTTGTAGTCGCTACTTTTCTCTGTACAACTGTTTTTAAAATTTTGAAATCGCTCCATAAATAACTGAAATTCGTTATTTTTTTCATTTTCATCAAGTTGCTTGCTGTCAAATTCATGGTAAGTTTTTATTGCATTATAAACAATACTATATCAATCTGTATCTTGTCAAACAGAAGTGCACTCGATAAAGTTAGCAGTTTTTACTTAATAAAGTTTGCAATAATAAGTCCTAACAAATTATTTCAAAATGCCTAATCTGTTTAGTTCCAACGAGTACACCGATATGATAATTATTTATTTATTGTTAAGGTTTGACAAATGTGTGGAAGTGGGAGGTGGGCAATTTGAGCACTTATTATAAGTTATTACTACTCTTTGTTTGTTGATATTTATTTCTTGTCTTCTCCTTCTCTTGTTTCAATGTATTTTTTTAATTATGTGTCGCCTAATAAAGTGTTTTTATCATCAACTTGACATACAGTTTTATTTAATTTCTCACTTATTTATGGAGCGATTTTAAAATTTTAAAAACAGTTATACAGAGAAAAGTAGCGACTACAAAAATGAGCAGAAAAAATTAGGGTGTCGTTAATAATTTTTGAGGGGGTTGTTCCAGGGGGGTAGTTTTTGAGGGTGGGTCGTCAAATTTTAATTTATTTTAAAGTATACCGCCAATTATAATGGATGACTTTTGTCCGGTTCGATTATCTTGCACGGTTTAGAAGTTATAGCCTGGGTAAAACAATTTGGGACACCCTGTATATAAAAGTAGTTTAAAAGATGTATGTGACATCATATAAACCTAAAAAGTACAATATTTGGACAACCTAGTCTGGCTCTGACATATAGATATATACTCTACTAATAAACATAAATAAATTTATCCAGCATTTTAAAATAAATTACTTATTAATAATTACATATTTATAAAAAAATACATTATTTACTTACCAATTTAGTTTCCAATTTGGTTCAAAATTTAGACCACAAAACACGTCCGTTTCCAGTAAACAGACTTGAGTTTCGAAACACGTCGAAACCTTTTGATGTTACCGCTTCCTAGCGGAACTCGAGAAACAAAACTCCAACCGTCTCAAAACACGCCTTCAAAAAGTTTGCGAAAAGTTGCAGTTTTGTTTTTTCGACACGAGTTTCTGTTTTGTTCTTGTCTTGTCCGTTTAGTAGAAAACCGCCATTAGATAAGATAGATGCCATAGGCGTACAAAAACAAGTTTATTAAATTCACTTTCCAAAAATTTCCCGAGAAAATTTTTAAATTTTTTCTCTGATATTTGGTTTGGACCCGCACTGACAGGTATACTTCAAATAAATCTTAGATTTGCATAATAGGATTTATAGAATTACGACAGAGGTTTGCCCACCCTGTATTTCTTTGTGTTTTTATTTGGCAATATATCGATTGTGCTCTTAAATATATTTTAATACATTAATATTATTTGAAAAATCTTAAGGCATAATATATATGTCTCCCCATTATAAAATAATATCGGTTATAACAACTATTATTTTATTTATCTGTATATTTTCCATTATATTATTATATTTATGTGTATTTTTTTATTATTCCAGGCAATCCATCTCCGCAGTTCAGGTGGCTAAAGGACGGCGTTTCAATAACGGAACTGTCAACGGACCCTTTTTACAAAATATTTTCCGCGAAATTAGAAGACGGTGGCAGTTATAGGTGTATAGCTGGGAACAAAATTGGATCCATACTTAGCGAAGAAATTAAAATAGTTGTAGCATGTAAGTAAATTTTTATTAAAATTTTTATCGCATTCCGTTTCGCCAAATTTAAATTTAATATCTTTACATCAGTTTTACGACGACGTATAAAAGCGTATTTTTGAATAAACTAATAAAATATGACTTTGTCAATATCTGATTTGAATTGGCTGGCAACTAGAACTTTCTACGCTATAGATCCAAATTTTTATTCTGTCAGATTAAAATACAAGCTAACAATGACTTTAGAGATAACATAATGATCTCCAATGCATTGTTATCGAATGTTGGTATCCCTCAAGGTAGTATTTTGGACCCATTAATCTACTACGTTTTTGTAAATGATGTATCAAACCACTCTATTATAAATTTGACACATTGTAGTAATTTATAGTTGACTATGTGAGACATTTGGTCGTTGCAATTTCTTATATTTGTTCCAGACATGGGAATTTTTGAAGATCAAAGCGAACGCTCGATCACCGTTAGAGAAGGAGAAGCCGCCATCTTGGATTTACCGGAAATCGATTCTACACCAGCGCCGGACGTGACGTGGCAGACTGACGAAGGAGTAACGCCGTACGGACCAAAATACGCATATTCAACGAACAATCAATTAGTGATATTATCTACGGAACCGTCTGATCAAAAAGCTTACAGGTACTTTTTTATCTTAGCCCGACTGCGCAAATATGGGGTAGTTTCACTGATTTCACCCTGTATTTGTGTGTTTTTAGAATGGACTGTATATATTTTTGGTTTGGGTATTCAAACTGCGACACCACATTAAACAGTTTATTACATTATTAGAATGTATTGTATACGACAAAATAAACAATCTGACGACACGAAAACACAGGCACAACAATGCTACAATACGTTAAGTATGAGGCTGCTTCACATACTTTGATTACTATACGGTGCAAGAGAGAGGTCCGACACGCCCAACATAGGGCGCGGCCATTTTGATTCCTATGCCACAGTTTATAGCTAAAGAATCAGATCGCTCACTCTGCGTCGACACTTTTGATCTCAATGTTCCAGTTTATACACTGCGCAACTCGGATAATACAATATATGACAACCGCCTATAATAAAACAGCAGTCTTCTGCGTATCCTGAATTTGTATTCCTGGAATGGATGCTATTTTGGAACTTTCAACTGGTCAGAGTGAGCTAACTGATTCTTTAACAATAAACTGTGACTCCAAAAATAATATTTACTGACACTGACAGCAGCAAGCAAAATATCAGGTGCGTTTTAATCATCCGCTTCTGCTTCCGGAATTGTCGGTTCGGTCGTTTTAACCTGTCAGATTAAAACAAGAAAACCGACAATTCCGAAGCAGAAGCGGATGATTAAAACGCACCTATTAAAAATATTGCGCCAAGATATAGGCAACACGTAATAAAGGTTCAAAATGGCGGAGTTTTCTATCTCCTTTTAAAAGGAACTCAGAAAGCTGCGCAGTGCGACCATTCTCCGTATAGTAAAAGAAAATCAAAGTATGTGGGCTGCTTCACATACTTTGATTACTATACGGTGCAAGAGAGAGGTCCGACACGCCCAACATAGGGCGCGGCCATTTTGATTCCTATGCCACAGTTTATAGCTAAAGAATCAGATCGCTCACTCTGCGTCGGCACTTTTGATCTCAATGTTCCAGTTTATACACTGCGCAACTCGGATAATACAATATATGACAACCGCCTATAATAAAACAGCAGTCTTCTGGGTATCCTGAATTTGTATCCCTGGAGTGGATGTTATTTTGGAACTTTCAACTGGTCCGAGTGAGCTAACTGATTCTTTAGCAATAAACTGTGACCCCAAAAATAATATTCACTGACACTGACAGCAGCAAGCAAAATATCAGCTGCGTTTTAATCATCCGCTTCTGCTTCCGGAATTGTCGATTTAGTCGTTTTAACCTGTCAGATTAAAACAAAAAAACCGACAATTCCGAAGCAGAAGCGGGTGATTAAAACGCATCTATTAAAAATATTGCGCCAAGATGTAGGCAACACGTAATAAGGGATCAAAATGGCGGAGTTTTCTAGCTCCTTTTAAAATGCACTCAGAAAGCTGCGCAGTGCGACCATTCTCCGTATAGTAAAAGAAAATCGAAGTATGTGGGCTGCTTGCTTTTCCAACTGTTTTCCTTAACAAAACCCGAGATAATAACTTTTAATTCAATTTACCGAGAAATAAAAAAACTCACAAACCACGAGTACACCCTTTTCGCTTTGAGTTAAGATTGCATCTGTCTTAAAACAATGCCCGAGATTGCAGAGTTCATGAGAGGTGGTAGAAATGAGAGCGAACTTCCAGGGTTGGTTGGAGTTACGTCATAAACGACCAATCGGACATTAATGATATGTTGGTTGCATAATCTTAGATGCGTTTTAGCAATTAATTATATAATGAGAGGTGAGAAAACAAATATATTTAAATTCGGTGTCTAGCCCGGCGTAGGGGAAAGAGGAGTAAAATTGATTTGATGTATTCTGGCCGAGAATAATGGTAGTTATTTTCCAACACCGACACCTGACAGGTGTGGTGTGATAAACCTCGGTGCTCGAAAAATCGCGAAAATTATACAAATTTATATCTTCAATCGTCTGCGCCATCTCAGTGCATTTTAGACAACTTACGGAGCACGCGTCGCTGTAAAAAAATAATCTTTAAATAGCTGTTTTCTTATCTATCCCAGGTGTAGACAGTAGTAACGTTATTATTTTGCGAGTTTTGCAATATAAGGGAGTAAATTCTGAACCACTCCAAAAAAAAGAAGATTAAAACAAAACAAGAAGATGTTCAGAATATCCTAGCGTTCGACATAAGAGTAAATACGTGTGTGAGGCCTGTGAAGTGTCCATATACAGATTCAGTTTAAGTTTTTCTTGGCTATTGCCGATTAACAGGAAAAAAGCGAGCACGCCTTAAACCTTACCACTCTGCGTGTCAGAGTCGGCGGATGAGATCGGTCGGCATCATGGAATTGCCAACGCCTTTGTCTGCTTTCTCTCTTTTATTCTAGCTTCATATGAATATTCTTCTTTCTGTTGCTCTTTATAGTTTTGCACTATAATCAAGAAAATTTAAGACTAATATGTATTTCTTGACCATTCACTGACATACTGCCAATAACTGTCAATAAAGCGAGATTCAGTAACTCATAACTTTTAATTTTTGCTTTAATTTGTCACTCACAAATCTGATCACTGCAGCTTTTATTCTGCCTTAAAATTACATTAGACACTGTACACCTTAACACAATACAAACTTGACGCGCTTTGATCGTCGCGGCGAATATTTAAAATACATCCGACACCGACAAATGTTAGCTGACAACTGAATCAAAAGTGAATCCAATTTGTTAATTTTTTTTAAGTCCTTACCTGGATTTCAACTTTTATACAGTATTCAGCACCTTACATTACATTAATTATGTAGTGAATATGAAAAAAAAAATATACAGAATGATTCATTCATTCGTAACCTATGAATAATTGAAGAAATGAGCAAAAAGGATAAACCCTGTATATTTGCTATAAATAATCAGATAATCATTAAATATAGGTTATTGAGAACCACCTCGGTATCTCGTATCTACCCCTAACGTATGCGCATTTCCCATTGAATCATATAAAAACAAGTATTTTTTAAACTTGAACTTTGCGACGATTTCTCTGTGCTTCAAAAAGTGTTTTATAATTTTCTTAAACGTGTTTTTATGAAATGTGTATTTTTCTTTGTAGGGCTCGTGCAATAAACTCCCAAGAAGGCAAAGAAGAAAATAGCGCTTACATAAAACTAACAATTGAGGAAACTCACGATAATAAAGAAATCGCTCCAGAAATAATAGTCGGCCCAAAAGATTTGAGAATCGTCAAGGGCACTCCACAAACTTCCATAGACTGCATCGCGAACGCTCGACCCTTATACGAACTGGAAACTTTGTGGTTTAAAGATGGCATTCCGATAGAAACTACCGGAATATTGTATTCTTTTAATGATATATGGAATAGGACGTTGATATTAAGATCTGTAAATACTACGTACAGTGGGCAGTATGAGTGTCAGGTAAAGATAATTCAATTTAATTTACATAAGAGTATAGTAATTTTAATAATTTTTATGAACCCTCTGTTGCATGAATTAATTATAGTTTTCAAAACTGCTTCAAAAAATTAAAATCTATTCTTCTTAATGTAGAAAATAAGAAAATAACATAATTAATATTTTTTTTTTTGAAACCCCATACTTCCCCCATTTTTTTTTTCTATTCCCTTTTGGGTACATTATACATTCAAAGATAAACATGTTGCGTAACAAACAAAATTATTCATTCATGAAACCGCACGAAACAATTTTGTTTTGGTTAAAGCATAAATGAACTTGGCACTTTTGGCATTTCACATGAGATTTTCCTTTGCATCCAAATAGTTTACACCTTTCCCTTTCAACTATTAATGCAGGCCAAAGAGCTATACTCAGTCTGTACAAAAGGATTTGGTCTAGGTTCTATGCATCTTCTCTTCACTGGTGATTCTGGAGTTGACGAGCTGGGGCGACTTCGCTTCTGCAATATTGTAAGCCCTTTGTTGCATAACTCTTCAGCTAACATGGTCTTGAATGATAGGACAGGTATTACTTTACTCCAAGTTGTCGATTTATTCTTTTATGTAAGAGCCAAAAATTGATAACCACGACATCTATCATATGATAAAATATCATATGATACCATTTTTGGCTATTCAATTTTATTGGGTAAAGTTTGACTATGTCGGCATTCTATCTCCTATTTGGTGTTTTCAGATTTGAAAAATCTCTTTACTTTTGTGACCGGATAAGTTCCACAGTAGTCATAAATGAGTGTAACAATTTTGTTGTCATACCATTGCACACTATGGATATCGACACCATCAAATTTAGTGGTCTCTTCATTTATTGTTCCTCTTCCTTTATGCTTCATTACTTTTTCTGATAGACCCTGGTAATTTGGTAATCTATTCACACGAACGGTAGCAACAGAATGAATTTTGTGTTTTGCCAGGTGTGACATAAGTGTCAAGGAAGAAAAGTAATTATCATAAAAAAGTTTATGGTGTATATCAGGTGAAATAGGTCTACTCAGACGAAGGACAACATTACTTGAAGCACCCAAATCAGGTTCATTTTTGTCCACTGTATAACCTTGTTTTCCCGAGAACAATTATAAATTATAAGACATGCCAGAAATTCCACTAAGAACCCACATCTTGTAACCCTATTTATGGGGCTTCTTAGGGTTATAAGTTTTTATGTTTATTCTACCCTTGAATGGAATTATTTGTTCATCACATGACAGGTGTTCTTCGAAAGGTAAAGCCAAGCAAGCTTTCCTAATAGTTTCTATTACTGGCATAATTTTATCCAAGTTACTTTTATTTTCTGTATTGTCGCTAAAGTGTAAGAGACTTTTGATCAATTCAAAACGATTCACTGGCAAGACATCGTGAATTTGTGAAATCCTTGTTTGAGGAGACCAAAAGCGTCTAGTAGTGGATTGTCTAATTATTGACATCCATAGAATTACTCCTATAAATCTATGAATTTCATCAAGGCTTATACATATTGGGCCGTATCTGAACACTATATATACACGTCTGGCGAACGACTTCAGTCAAAAATTTTCAATTTAAAAATTTATTCAGGAAGTAACTCACTTCCTAGAAATTCAGAATTGACCTCAATTCTTTCAGTCATTGATTTTTTCCAATTCATTTTGGGTTTAGTAGCTGCCGGTTGCCTTTTAGGAAGTTCTTTGTTATTTTGAGGTGCTTGGGTTCTTCGGGGTGCTTGGGATCTTTTATTGGGTGCTTGGGTTCGGGTGCTTGGGTTCGAAGTTCTTGGGTTCTTCGAGTTCCTGGGGTGATTCGAGGTGCTTGGGTTTTTAAATTTTTCGGAGGATTCCCATCTTCTTTTGAAGACTTATTATCTTCTTCTGAAGGCTTGTCATCGTCTTCCTCAGAAGACTTGACTTGTCATCTATAGAAGACTTTTCTTCAGAAGAGTTATCATCTTCTTCAGCGGACTCATCATTTTCACAACATAAATTATTGGAGAATCCCTGTATCAATAATTCCTTCTCGTTTGTATCTTGTATCTCCATCTGACAGCTCACTATCTTCACTATCAGCAGGTATTTCTCTGACTCGAAAGTTGTCTGTAGTTTTACTACGTCCATAAAATGATTTCGGGTTTTTTGAAAAAAATTTCGGATTCATATTCTGAAAGAAAACCAACAATAAATACATTCATCTATTTTAGTTTTCAATGCACATTGTTCCCGAGCGGCCACATACATTTATGGGAATATTTTTCTCGTAATTTCATGCGAAAGTAGCTCTTTTGTTTTTAAACATACATTACATAGATATATGAACCTAATCTACATATTTATTAGTTGAAATCTTACCTTTATCTGCCAATAACTAATAAAAATATCAATATAACCTTACATCAACAAGTGTCAACAATCAAATGCCATAAAGCGCACGAAATTCCTTCCAAGGAGAAGCGCGCCGTATTCAGTTCATTTTGATGTGTTCCCAGAGGGACCGTATTTAAGGGCATTCGTGAATGTAGTGAAGCGATGTAGCATTTCAGAATCGTTAGTAATTTTTAAAGTTTGTGTTCCCTTTCGGTCACAAAATGCAATAGAGGGTTAATATTAAACGACAAAAAAATTCAAAGCACATTTAGGATTTCAGTGCGTCTTGTTTTTAACTGAATTTCATTGTCTAAAAAAATAGGGGGTCAAAGGGGTGCAGAACCCTTCTAAAAACCTATAGAATTAAATTAATAAAAATATTTTAAGCCGGTTTAGAGTAAGAGTAAAAAATAACTTCTAAAATTTCTGCACCTTATAAATGTTTTACTAGTCTTTTTTTTTTTTTGAAGCAAATTAGCTTGAATCGATTTATTTCGGACCTCAGAAACTGTGGTTAAATTTACTGTACATCTTTTTCTTACCCTCTGTGTAATTATGGTATTTTTGAATAATTGCTGAATTCGTATTTGTGATTCCAAATGACCTAAACATATTATTTATTTTAAATCATTCTAATTATGTCTAATTGGCCTAAATTTTGTTTCAAAAAGTTTTCTTTGTCTATAATCCTTTAAAAAATATACATATAGGTCAAAACATTTTTATTTTGATAACTCTTTGTACATCTCTGATGTGCAAGATTTTAAATTCTGTTTTGTGCATTTAATTGCAGGTAAATCTAAGATCGGGCGGTTTCTCGACAGCAGTATCCTCAGCTCAAGTTAACGTTTTGGAAAAACCTGGATTTTTGAGTTCGGCCAAACCGGAAACTTTAGGAGAATATTCATCATCTTTAAATTTGCCGTGCGACGTATTGGGTATACCGAAACCCAATATTACTTGGTACAGAAATTCTGAAGAATTGGATTTATCAGAAAAAAGGTAAAACATATTTAGTAAAATTAGATGTAGGTATTACTTGTATAGATAAATAATAATTCTAACTGAGTAAGGAAAGGATCACTACGGTAGGTGTGGAGAGTAGCTATTGTTTAATTTTGAATTACATTTTATATTTTATTTTGATGATTATAGAAGTCTACACGCGTACATTTTTTAGATATGAAGTACAGGAAGACAATTCTTTGCTAATCAAAAAATTGTTGATTAGCGACAACGGGATGTATCAGTGTTTTGCAAGGAATGACGCTGGCGAAAGTTCTTTATCAACTTGGCTGAAGGTTAAAAGTGAGTTTTTATTTTTCTACAATCATTAAATAACATTTTCTATTTTATTTCATAAAGCAAAATATTTGTGTATCATTGTGTTCTTTCAAAATTAATCCATTAAATTCTGAAATTTTTTAATATTAATTTAAAATTTATAGTAAATTTTATTTTTTTTTAAATTTTGTGTTATTATTTTAAATTTTGGTCTATCGTAACACAGTTGACCGAGTCCAACGATTCTACGACTCAAAAAACACTCATTCACTCTCTTCGACCGACACTGTGGCTAGAATTAATTTTTAAAAATGTGAATTTCTTAGTCAAGGTGAATTCTGACCCCAATGGAAACGGGCTTTATTTTGAAATGTTGCCATATCGATAAAACTGGCGATGAAATACAGCAAAAATAAACAGAGTCGTCAGAATTATTCTCATTAGCTGCGCAGTCACAGTTTATAGCTAAAGAATCAGTTAGCTTACTCGGACCAATTGGATGCGCAGAAGACTGCTGTTTGAATATAGGCAGCTGTCATATATTGTATTGGGGTTTGATTCTGTATGCGCAAGGGATACACATCCGAGTTACGCAATGTATAAACTGGAACATTGAGATCAAAAGTGCCGAGGCAGAGTGAGCGAACTGATTCTTTAGCTATAACATGTGGCGCAGTTAACGACATATTTCAAATTAACTCCAAATAAACAGAACTAGAATGCTGTAAAAAATAAAACATTAATAATTACTCAAGAAGCTGCGCAAATTCAAAATATATCATTTACTTATTACTGTTTTTTGTTAGCTAATGAATATTATAGGAAAAATTAATATCAACACAAACAACTAGGTCCCTTAACCTAACTATTTATTAATATAAAACCAGGAAAATCGTTCCTACTGAATGAGTTGTATAATAAGGTGGACCAACTTCCAAATTCCTAAAACGGGACAGAAGCTGCAACTACGATATTTTTTTTTTAAATATTATATTTGGACGTGAAACGATGAAAGAAAGCCATTGGTTTAAGTACGCCCTTTCGATAGCAAGGATAGAATATTGCATGTATATTACAGTCTGCTTATTATTTTATTTTTGTCCAATCAATACTATTATGTTTCTAGACCGTTCTACTGAAATAAAGAAAACAAAGTTAACGTACTGTATGTATTATCTTTATAAGGTTGTGTATCTGTCACTCAAAGAGAAAAATGCAATATACAACAGAAAATAATAAAACAAGCTCAATTCAATTCAAAAATAGAAACTGCCCATCTTATTTTTTAACGCTGTTAATAATTTAAGGCCGTCCCTGTTGAATTTACTTAAGAATCAATTCAGGGCAAGGTTAGCAAATCCAATAAAATAAAAACAACTAACACTGTTGTTATCCAATCGAAATGCACGAATTTAAAATCGATAATAATGATTAGGCAAAGGAAAACAGTTGGTATTATGTATGCGCGACATGAATGCGCGAACCTTAACGGTTTTTGAACCACGCTGACCAAGGCACAGTGTTGTTCCTGTGCGTCGATTCTCGCACGGTGCACGGTGTTGCCAACTCTAATATCTTCTTTTTCTTGATTTTTGTAGACATTTGAACTATATTTTGTTAACTGGATATAATTTTGTGATAATAAAAGAAGAAAATATTAAAATTGTCACCTATCCGTATTGAATTTGACATATTTGGAGAATATTAATTATGAATTAGAAATTAAGAGTGTGATTAAGAGGTCGTTTCGTAGGAGTTTTCTATAATATGATAAAAATATATATATATATATTTTTATTAAAAGCATAGACGAGGGAAAAGAAAAACGTACAGCCATTACAGAGTTCACTTTTTTAAGATACTTAATTAAAAATTAAATTTGCAAACCGGAAATTTATAGTATAGGTAGTCGATTTTGTTTTAAATTTTGTGCTAAAGAAAAGTAAGTTTGTATTAATATCAAATAAATAATTTTATTAATAAAAATTCGGTAAAGAAAATTCAATACATATGTTTAAAAATATATAGATTAGACTAATTATATAAACTGGAGTGACCGCCTCATAGAAATTTGAAATATTTTCAACTAACTTATTATATAAAGGGTTATAATTTATTTCGAAATTTTTTTTATAACTTTTGTTTACTACCTACGGAATCTGCAACTCTTAATTATCCTTCCTCCGTGCTACCTACTTTAACTAACTGTAGCTTCACTAGATTATTGTCAATACTTATACTTTATTTCAACTTTTCAAATATCACTTTCTCAGTTTAATGGGATTAAATTAACATTTTTAACAATCATTCTTTGTGTTTTTCTAATTTTGTAATTATTTTTACAAAACAAAACCATACAATTTGCTTTCAGTAAAGATATTTGTCATAGAAGACTTATAGACGAAGAAGATTTATAAACTTCTTAACACTGAACACTAATATCAATTTTGGGATTTTTCATAATTTGTATTCCCATTTTAGGCAATAAATATAGCTTAAATGGTACCTACCTACTAAATAGTACGACCCTTATTTATTAGGATTTTGGGATTTTCCCTAATTTACAATTCCCAGAATACGAATAATAGATATGTAGGTATGTATAGGTACCCATGCATTTATTAGAATTACAATAATTGATTTTTGTGATGAGGTACCAAATAATATTTTACTTATGCTAATAAGTTATTCACTCTATTGTTATCAATAATGATTTTATTAAAAATATAAAAATACGAAATGTACGAATATGAAAAAGTTAAAAAAATTACTTAATTACGGGCCAAAAATAATAAATCAGCTACCCCGCATGCGTTTACTAATAATTCTTGAGAGAACACGGCGTTCTCCTACGAAATACCAGTAGAACGATGTTCCTACGACTTACGTAGGAAGTGAACGTTCCTATGACTTCAAGAATACGGGCTTAGCGAATTTCAGGAGAAACACGCCCTCTATTCCTATAGGAACGCCGTTCCTACGACTCAAGAATACGGTCCCTGGTTGTACAATTGTACAAAAAGTTGTACAATCAGTTATGCGGTTGTACTGTTGTACGCACTTTTGAAAAAAGACAGAAATGTTGTACAATTTGAAATTGCTAAATATTTATGTAAAATCGGGTATATAAAAGGTTTTCTTCGCTCAAAAGTCTACGATTTGTTAAATAGCATGCATTAAAATAATTAATAAAATAAAAGTTTAAATTTGGCGCCATTCGCGACCAATCAGTACACCGTTTTACATCAAAAATATATTTTAAACTGGAAAAAAGAAGAATTTTAAGCATGGGAAAGTAGTAGGCCATAGTCTGTCAATAAAAAAGAAGAAGATTAATTAGTGGTTGTACAATCGAAAGTAAAAGTGTACAATTTTGACACTGAAAGTTGTACAATTCAAAAATCCCTAGGAACAACACTGCCAAGGCAAGGCAACCTTTAACATAAACACATCGTTTTATCGGTCTTCACCTAACGCTCCAATGGCATCCAAAGTAAAATATAAATGTTCAGAGTAAGATGTAAATAAAAAACGAATAATGTAGTGTGGTGTTCTTCATAAAAATAAACCATGTTACTGTTTATTTTTTTCTATCGTCGGTCATTTAATCCAAAGCCAGCGGCTTTGAACACATGGAAATACAGTCCGCTCTAGAATCATAGCCTAGGGTAGCATGCAAAATGTAAGATCCTGATGCAGGCGACGCAACAAAAGCTATACTTTGTTTGCGATGATATAGCTTTTAGTGAATTTTTATTTGCCAGTAAATGTTACAAAACTCACTACAACTAAATTTCAAGTTACATTTTGTAATAATTGATTTGAAATGAAGTCTTTTTAATACTATATAGGAATATAGTATAGGAATAAATGATTCCTGTCGCGCGAAACGTGTATCGATATTGCCTCACATCTAGCCTTCGGTGCGCGAACCTCGATCCCGGAGTGTTGCGCGGTAGTACTGGCTTTGGTTCAGCACGTGAGAAATGTTATTTATTTGAATTCGACATTTATTTCACGACTCACGACTACCGCTGTAATTACATCGAAAATTAGCTAGCTCCGAGTTTGATTCTTTTCATTTATTTCGTTTATATTCTAACGTTCTTATCGTAGACCTCAAGAAAGATTTTTGTTTCGTTTCACCGCCGTTTATTTTAATATGATGAATATTTTTGTAAAATATATCGCGTTTTTCCTAATTTTGATTTTTTTTTGGGAAAAAATAAAATAGACTTGAAAATAAGTTTGATCTTTGACCCCTGCGATTTTTCATCTCCATCTGTAGATACTAATCAATAAAAATAAGCCTATAACAGAAAGAAAGTTACAAGATTAATCATAAAATATATTGTAAAGCCAAGAGTATCTCTTAAATAGTCATTTGTGCTATAATAAGCTTTTAGACATTATGGTTTATGTGACATTTATGCAATTTCAAAATTAGGTACTTTACTTTTATTCTGTTGCCTTATTACGAGCAGCTATGAGGAGCACCTCAGCGTGAAACGAGAATCCTTGTTTACCTATTTTTCTCGTTTCCTTTAGTATTTTTCTTTCTATTTGGTTCGCTATGACTTTGGGAGGTATAATGTTTTGAAAACTAATACCTACATATATTATCATTACAAGACAGAAAAAATAATTTAATTGAAAAGTATAAAGCGGGATATTTCTTTATAAACAATAAATTTTACTTGCTTTATGAAATAAAATATTTTAATCATAAACATTACAATTCCTAACAGATATGTCTTTGTTTAACGATGCAGAACTAAGGAAAGTAAGAAGTTTAGCTGCGAAAATAGTGAGGTTAAGGAGTTCAGGAGAGAGACATAACAAAAAGACATTTCGCTATATAGCTCCATGTAAGAAGGATTTCTTCTGGAATGCGAAATTTAATATTTTTTTTTACACCGTTTTTGCACCGTTGAAGTAGATCGCAATATTATTTTCCTTTGTGTTTGCACTTTTGTTATTTTAATGCGTTTTAGCGATTTTATTGATTACACCTGCAAAAGTTTATTTTATGGGTTAAAAATTGCATGAAACTGTTTTTAGTTTCGATTTGTTAGTTTTCACCTAAATTAATAATAATGAGATCGAATATTTATGAGCGAAATTACTCACTGTGGCTGTTAATTAAATAATTTTTCTTCATAACTCGTAATCTTTGAATATTTCTTTGCATTTCGATACGTTTTTTGTTTCTGTGTAAATATTATATCAATATTTCAATTATTACTGCCACTGATTTGTCTTCAGACAAGAGCATATTTGTCCTCATTTAATTCTCCCGGCTTTATGATACTTACTCAGTATCTCACTTAACTCGATCATCCATGGGTAGTAGGCGATATATCCTCCACTAATCTCTGCTAACCCAGCAATCCTAAATTATCTTACCACTACCAAAGTTTACTTACTAGACCTTTATCTCACATCAACTTTTCTTTCATACCTACAGTAGCTGTACTTTGGCACTCCCTTCACCAAAAAATGTTTCCCTGTCATTCCAATACCTAGTTCTTTAAAACCCGTATCAATAACTAAACTACCCGTTTTCGTAAATCACTTTCGCGTTAGGTAAAAATTCGGTCATAAACGTTCATCCATAAGTCCTTGATAATATTTCCATGCTGATATTTCTTATTTTTACCTATTGTCGTGCGAGCAAATTTCAATCAGTCCGACTCTGATCCATGTTTACATTATCGCCGTTCAGCCACCCGTCTGTATTCCGCTGCCGCTGATCAATCGAGACGAACAGACTCCTACGAGAAGTTACTAGAAAGATCTTCGGTTTTCGAGAACTTCTAGAGATTTCGGGATAGGTCTAATACGCTTAATTTTAATATAAATAGCGCGAGTTTGTCGATAGAAGTTAAGTTGGCCATAAGAAATCGATGTGTTAAGGTAAATTATCTATATAAATTAATAGTGCTTAAATATTTGAGATAAATTAACTAACACATCGATCTCTTATATTCAACTTAATTCTATCGACAAACTCGCGCTATTTGTATGAAAATTATTCATACCAGACCTGTCCCGACCTCGCACATGTGCAAAAGAACTTTTCAGTAACTTTTATTGTCTCAATCGAGCAGCGGAATATTGACGGGTGGCTGAATGGCGATAACGTAAGCAAAGATCAGGAGCGGACTGTTTGAAAATGGCTCGCACGACACTATCTTAAAACCATGAAAATACATTTTTTGCTTGCATATTATGGTTTTAAACTAATTGATATTTTGTTTCATAGAATGAAAACACTATTGTTTGAAGTGTGATTTTTTCCAAATATATTTTTTACTGCACTATTTTCAAGTAGCGTCTTTTAGAAGCAATAAACCTTAGATAATTACCTTTTATTTAAATGTATTTTGCAATTTCAGCTTCTACGCCGATCATGGAATTTGGTCCAACGAATATGACAGTTCTAGACGGCAAAGATGCCACTCTAACTTGTCGAGCTCTGGGTGCCCCAATTCCGAACACCACGTGGGTACACAACGGTAAGTAAACGTTTCCACTAAACTTCCAACTTCCAACATCCAAAAAAAAAAAAAATAACCCAAGTTTGAAGTGACAAACGCTTATTGTTATGTACCAATAAAACTGCATGTTCGTTTTGCATTTTGTGCTACTAATTTTTGCAGGTGAGAAGGAAGTGGCGACATCTAGCCGTGTACAGATCCTGGACACCGGAGATCTGCTAATAGCGGCTGTCAAAGAGACAGATGCTGGCCAGTATACGTGTATTAGGTCCAACGAGGCAGGAGAAGTTAGAGGATCTGCGTATGTTCAAGTCTTGGGTTAGTATATGACATACTTACTTACATTTTGTATGTTGAATCTCATATAGAGTCGCTAAACTAAATATTTTGAGACACTATTAGCCTAATTTACGAAGCATCTTTAAATTTACCAACATGTAAATCTTTAAAGAAACGTCATTGTAATAACTGTCCAATATAGTTAGGCGATACTTCATGAACTGTTATTTAATTATTTTAATATTAGTAAACTGACATTCTACATGTTTTTCTATAGTTTTCGGCAAACATATTAAAGAATATTTAATTTATAATTGATTTGAGGAACATAACCTCATTTATTTTAGTTTACTAATAGTAACGTATTCAAGGCGTGATTGAAATATCACGATTTACATATTCGTTTTCATAAATGTTCTCCAGAAAAATATTAACGAATATTTAATCTGTTAATAATTTGAGGAAACATAACCTCATTTATTTGAAAAATCATGACTTCGTCTAACTTTGGCGTTTCTATCTTTAAGGACTTACATGAATATAACTATCTGTATGAGAAGTTTAATTTCTATAGGTAATAAAGAGTGGTCCACAAAAATTGTTTCTAAAGTAGGCCATGACAAAAACAGAGGTACAAGCCATGTACGTGATACTACATATAGCTAAATTAAATTCAAACAGACTCTTAAAAAGAAGAATTGTAAACTGCAACATTAGATAATTTTTCCAACACCTATTTTAAAAACTTTTTTGTTAATCACTCTATATAGTATATTAAAATGTGCTTGAATGATACTAATACACAAAATTAAAGATTTTTGTTGTCTGCTTAAAAAAAAATGAATGTTGCACTATTGCAAGTATCCGTGACATATCACTAAATCGAATGCAAAATAAATTTAAAACGTTGTGCAGCTTTTAAGAAAATATTAAATAATTGTTAACGGAGGATGTTTTACCCCTGTAAATTCATCGGCTAAAGCCAGTACTGGTGGACTGTATATTAAACCTTAAAAAACCCATTATCCATGATAATGAAACGCTAATGGGATGGAAGATGTATGTTTTTTTAATGTGTCTCGTTGCTAGGAGAGCTTGGAATGCAAGTATTATCTTATGCACAAGCCCGGCCTGGGAATGCTATGTTTAAATTGAGCGATGTATATTACGAAATTTAAGTAATATTGTATAATACATTTATGCATTTAATTATAAAAATAATTATTATTACCAAAGAATATTCCATTGATTATTCAATTTTTTTGGAAGTGTAGACTTCTCCCATGGACAGACCGATTGTAGTAAGTGTGGTGACAAAATTATTGGCTTTTAAGTGAAACACCACACGCCATACTACCAAACACCACCTCACAAATGTCAAATTTGGCAATATCATTTCGCAAAAAACGGCAAAATTCACCAAATGCATGTCTATCAATCATCCAAATCACAAATGGTAGATTACGAAACAAGATAACTTAATTTCATTTTTGGATGCCTCCCTTAAAAATTAAATATACAGGGTGTCTCATTAAGAACGGGACACAGAACAACTGAAGATTCTCTAAATAAAAATAAACAATAAAAATTATTGTTAACTATAATTATTTTTTATTTCTCCTTATAATTTTACTAAATTCGGCAAACATGGCGTCAGCAAAACAATCAGTTAAATAAACTTTGCCAGTGGCGTACAGCATGAATAAGTAACACCTTCATCCCCTATAAATTTTACGCCACTGTCCAAAAATGTATTTGGATTATACTATTACATTTTTTTATGTTTTTTTAAATAAATCATGTACTCTTGTTAAGAACTTGTAAAGTGATTGGTTTTCGAGAAATTCACACTCAAAGATGGACATTCTTCATTTTTATTTATTTTTTAATTTTATAGTTTTGGATTTTTTTATCAATTTCCAACAAAAGTATATGATTTATTTAAAAAATATCAAAAAATCAAAATCATAGTACAAATAAGTTTTTGGCGAGTGGCATAAAATATAGAAGGGCTAAAGGTGTTACTAATGTCGTACACTACTGGCAAAGTTTACTTACCTTATTTGTTTGCTGATAGGTGTATCTTAGACACCAAAAAGGTTTGCTCAGTATAATTTTATAAAAAAATCAAAATTAAAAAATAAATTATAGTGAGTGCGTAAATATTTCAAAAATCAATCACTTTATGAGTTCCCAAAAAACGTACATGTTTTATTAAAAAAATAAAAAAACATCAAAAATGTAAAGGTATAGTCCAAATAAGTTTTTGGACAGTGGTATAAAATTTAGAAGGGGATAAAGGTGTTACTTATCCATGCCGTACTCCACTGGCAAAGTTTATGTGACTGGTTGTTTTGCTGATTATCTTATACCAAAAATGTTTACGAAATTTAGTAAAATTTTACTGAGAAATAAAAAAGTTATAGCCATTAATAATTTTTAAATATTTAACTTTAACACCCTGTATTTCGGAAACTAATAATATTTTATCTGAGCATGTTTCGTTTAATCGTCTTATTTATAATCAGAGAATGTTCAGTTCTTCTGGCCCAATTCTTAATGAGATACCCTGTATATGTATCATATTCAGGGTGCGTCAAAAAGAATGTGCTTCAAAGTAACTGAAAGTGCTTGGGAAAATTTATTCAAATGTAATCAACTAAAATAAACTACTTCTTATTTGAAATTATATAAAGTATTATACAGAGTGATTAAAAAAAAGTACTGAAAACTAAGTGTGGTTAGGTTAGTAAAAATATTGTCAGTGGCATTGAGTTGAAATTTCAAAATGTTTCGTTTTTTATAGTTCCTGCAGTTTTTAAGATATTTAACTTAATTTTCAAATCTAGGTTTTGCTGTAGGGCTTACATCATTGGGCATGCCAAGTAGTTGTGAGCTTCTACAGGGTGATTTTTTTTCAAGGGTCATGCCGCCTTTCCTTCCCCTGAACTTTTTGTCTTGAGTCACTGGTAGAATTTAAAATACAAAACAAATTTTTTGTTTTGTTTAGAAACTTTTTAGTCTCCTGATTTTTTTACATCGACGACCGTTATCGAGAAAAAAATAAAAAATCAGTTATCTGTAATTTGCTAAATAAAAGTAACATTTTTAAAATGATCTAGTAGGCTCTGTCATTATTGTGGATACTTTTTTGTTTTAAATAATTTTGACAGTACTCATTTTAAGCCGTTGTGTCTTCATGTTTTTATAAATAACAAAAATCTAAAAATCTTGACACCCTGTGTCTTGAATACGGATGCCGTTACGACAATTTATTACTAACCTAACCTCACTTATAACTTTTAGTACCCTACCTAACATAGCAACAGGGCTAACTTTTTTTAAACACTCTGTAAAATGTTATTTTTTAAACTTTTTTTCTGAGCGAAATGGGAAATAATTTATCTCCTATACACAAATATATTGTATGAAACACCCTGTATATGTAATGTTAAAAAGTTTACGGTTTTTTTATTTTTGAAAAAACATCTGTCTCGTTCCAATTTTGAACTAATATGAATGTTTTTGTTCTATACTAACAATGTTCAATTAAACTTTAACACCCTGTATCTCTTTAAATACGATTATGTCTTGAACATGTTCGAATTTGTGCGCCGAAAAAATTCGATCCAGTAGGGAGTTCCATTCTTTTTTACTCATCCTGTATATTCAAATTTCTCTAATGCATACAGCATGCATAACCACTATAAATAACCAACAAATGGTTTTGCCTGTTTTATCGGATTTATGTGCATAAAATGCATAATTTACAAAAAAAAAGGTTGATATAGGCAACATACAATACAATACAAAAAAAAATAAGATTGGTAATATACATAAATACATTAGAACTAAATATGTGTTGGCACCACTGGTTATTTCCTCCGTTGCCGTGGAAACATCTGTTTCTGTTAAACTGTCATCGGCGTTTAAAACTTTTATGTTTGTTTACATAAATAGTAGTTTGTAGGAACTGTGGCTCAGTTTTTAGTTATGCTTTCATTTATTTTACATTTATGGCCATTCAAATGTTTTATTTTTGCCTTTTATTCGTTGTATTTTATCGTGGGGAAGCCGTTTATTACGAGGATTTTTTCGAGAACCCAGGTAACCAGTTTGTTTTTTAAGGTTAATTTTTTATAAAAAAATACAATGAAAATGGCTTTTTTTAATAAGATGATTAGATTTTTATTTTCGTTGAAAAATAGGGCATGCTTTTTCATTTGTGATAAAGGGATTTATTATAAAAATTTAGGTTTTATAATAGAAGAGTTTATGTAATAGGTTAAACAAAGTGATTGAGTAGTATTTTTACTGGTAAAAGTTGAAACTACTGTTTTATTTACATCTTTAATTTTAATTTAGAATTAAACTAATAAGGTTTTAAAATGCGTTTATCAAGTGTTGAGTACCTATTCGGTATATTCATATTATAACTATTTAAAAAATACCTTCTGATGGATGTATATATTTGGGCTGTTGCAATTTTAAATTCTGAAAATTCAGATTTGTTTTTATTAAAATAGTCCTCTGATAATTATAAACATCTGTAACATTGTTGTACAGGATCAGGTATTTTTTTTATACACCTGAACTTTGCCTAAACCATGAGCCTACCAGCACGACTGTAGCTGTGCTTTATATTGTAACATACTAATACTTTATAGTTGTGACCCCTATCCTATTATTACTTTAAAGCTGGCAGTTTACAACTTATTTTATTATTTTTTTTTTTTTTCAAAATTATTGTATAACAGAAAAGTGTAAAATTCGCTGTCTTCATTAAGACTTTTTTAACATATTCCAAACTTCATTTTGATAACAGATGACTGTTTTTTATTAGAGTTATTAGTTAATTTATTATTTTGTATTTTTCTAGTTCGGACTCAAATTGTTCAACCACCTGTCGATACGAGGGTTCTTTTGGGACAAACTGCTACTTTGCAGTGCAAAATTTCATCAGACCCAACTGTTCCTTATCAGTTAGATTGGTTTCGTGACAAACAGTGAGTAGTAAATTGATTATATTTTACTATTATTTTTAATTTGTAAGAGATTCTTTTGTAGTAATAATACAATCCTATCTAAATGATCTTGTTCGTGGAGCATTTTAATAAATATCTGTAGGACGGTTATTATTTAAAACCTTACTTATTTTAAGATTGCAATTTAATTATTTTTTATCAGTTCACCCTGTTCTGTCACAATCTTTTTTTACAGATTTTAGCCTTTATCTGCTGCTACACCACTTCTCAAGATTTTTCTTGTTCTTCGTGCAAAAATCAATTTGTACAACAAAATAAGCCAACTTATTTATTATGAATATTGAGTGTTAATTATCTTTCCTACTTTAATTTTTTCCTACATTTTTAATTTAATAATTAATATGTCATATTACATTAGATAATTTCTACCTAATAAGATAATTTTAATTTTCATACATTATTTTGTCTTCTTTATAGTGTTTTCCATGAATCATTTCGTTTTTAAAAAGAATTAATTGGTTTATGTCAAGAATGAAGCAAATACTTATTTTTCATTCCTTTAGGTTAATTAATCCTCGTGGTAGCCAACGAATAAGGACACTTAGCGATGGTACCCTAGAAATAGAAGCAGTCCGAGCATCTGACGTCGGTTATTACACATGCGCGGTTCAATCGCCTGGCGGCAACGAGACAAGATCAGCTAAACTATCTGTTATAGAGTTACCATTTTCACCATCAAATGTCAAAGCTGAAAGGTTAGATAACGGTTCACAGAGAGCTGTTAATGTAAGTTGGACCCCAGGTTTTGACGGAAATAGTCCTATCAAGAAATATATAGTACAGAAAAGAGAGATTCCTGAATTGGGTGAGTATTAGTAGAGTAGTAAAATGGACGCTTTCTAAACACTGTTTTTGTGTTATATCGTTCTTGTTTATACTGTCCTTTGTCATTACTAACGCTTTTTCATGCTGGGTGATGGAATAACAATAATCTACTACCTACCTAATGCTTAATTTGTATAGTGATTGTTCTGAAAAAATAAAATCTTGCTCTCTTCATCTGCTTGGGTTAAGGTTCATTGTAATATATGTACATTTATAATAACATTTAGAACAGTTCAAAAGCTGAAAAACAAACTGAATGCTTAAAATAGTTTTGCTTATAATTATTCTTAACAACATATTTTACTTCAAAACCATATTCAATTTTATAGCATATTTTACATACAAAAATGATGTCTTTCATAATTATCAATAGATCATCTTAATGTTCCTACATATCATAAATAGTATTTTATTGTTAATATTCTCATTTAACACGTTGACTGCCACGCTGGTCCCATCGGACCAGCTTAAATGACTTGTCTCTAGCAGCACTGGTCCTATAGTGTTTAGGGGACCAGCAGTGAAGATATCTATGAGTGTGGTTTTTAAATTAACTTTTTTTTTGTGTATGGTCCTCTCGGTGGTTCCACTAGTAAATAAAACGATTAAATATGAAAAAAGTAAGTATTGAAAGTAAGTATAACCTATAACCAATGACACCAACCAATAACACGGGCTAGTAATATTTTAAGCTGCCGAACGTTATTGCCGCCCAAACCAAGGTCAAGGGACTAGCGACACCTCAGAAGAATTTTACTAGATATTTTCGAGGACCAGCTTGAAAAAACCGTAAATATTTCGAAAAAAAAACTATCAATATTTTTATTTTAAATGCCTGAGAAATTAATTATAAGTCTAATAAACGTATTGTCGCCCTTAGCCCTACAGAACAAAATATCTTTTTTTGCTTGGCAGTCAACGTGTTACAATATTCTAGGTAATGTATTTACTAATGATTATGTATCATTTAACAATCTTGTAACATATTTAAAATAACATTTTCATATTGCAAGTAAACTTCTATATTAAAAATACATTTTCAGCTTCTAGCATTCATCTATTTATTCTTTATTACAAATGTTTAAAAATTTAATACTTAAATCATTAATTAATTTTTCCAGTAATATAAGAAATTTAACATCTCTCTATACTCTATTCAACTTAAACGCAAGTAACGCTTAAACACAATAGCCTCTTGACCACAGCATGATACGCACACGCCTGACTGCTATTGGCCAGCCTAGCGATACGGTTTTGAATGTTTTCGTAACCTCTAGCTCAATGTGGTGTGGTCAAGGGGCTATTGTGTTTAAGCATTACTTGCATTTAAGTTGAATAGACACAAAGCTAAAAAAGAATCAAACAAATTAAATGTTGATATTATTTAATGCAGAAATAATTAAAATTTGTTTTTCTTTTTTCTACAGTTTTAGAAATAATAAATCTTTAGGAACTGGAAATTATGAATAAATAATGTTAGCTGTGACTAAATTATTAGCAGTTACTTAGACACTGTTTCAATAGTAAAGAGTACAGCAACGTCACACCAATATGTGCGAAAATGCCATAGTCAGTGCCGTATTGTAAATAGTGAGACTTGGAATCAGTAAATAATTTTAAATTTGTAGTTTAACATGAACTTAGTTTAAAAATGTAGGCGATCTTTAAATTTAATGAATACTCGCCCTGTATATGACGCTGATTGCCGATAGCAATAGGAGTTGTGTAATGTTCCAAGTATTTGTAAACGGCTGAATCACCGAATGATTCTTTTGGGGTTTTTGTTGACGACTTGCAAGGGGTACCAAAAACAACAATTTTTATTATGTAGGTACCAATTTTTTTATCCATATCATTCGAATGCTTGTATAAATATAAATATGAAAATCTGTTTTGGTCAATCGCCAATGCAAGAAATGTTAAAATTTTAAAAATTACGATTTGCAAACTTCCAAATCCCTTACTCCAAGTCCTAAATGTATGATGGTGGGTGGGGTTTTCCGGGTTTTCCTCACCTGATGGCACCATTAATCATCTTTAAGTCGCCCCGGAGCGCCACGGCAAATAATAATAATAGCCGTCCCTTTCCCTGGACAAGCTCAGCTTTTAGGGTTAAAATTCACTCGTAAGGGGGTGAATTAGGGAGAGTATTATTATTATCAAGTTATTAAAAAATGTACAAAAAAAAACAGTACTAACTTATAAAAATTATTTAAGTATTTTAATTTATTAATGCTTAGAAAAAGATTGGTAACATCTTCGTTAATGGTTTATTTAAATTAAAAACATTTGAAGAATATGTTAAAACTCAAATGCGTTGACACTAATAATTTTTTAGAGTGCAGGTTTTTATTTATACAGAGTGTAACAAAAAGATGTACAGTAAATTTAACCACAGTTTCTGGGGTCGAAAATAATCGATTTAAGCTATCTTGCTTATATAAAAAATAAATAGTAAAAAAGTTACAGGGTGTTAAAATAGAAATTTTAAAAGTGATTTTTTTGCTCTTACTCTAAAACAGCATAAAATATTTGTTCTACGTCCATGTCAGTAAACGTTAAAAGTCGCACTGTCAACATTCCTTGTAAATGACATTTAACAATAACATGCACGTAATAAGATCTCAACATACACGTGCGTTTTGATAAGAAAACTTAAATTTCTTAGTTTAATCAAATTTCAATCAACTTTTTACCTACGTTTGATCTATTTACATAAATTAGTGAATTGAAAAACATAAAAACTTTTAGCATTAGCGAGAAACATTTTGGATTAAAAAAGTGATGCTCTCAAATTATACAATTTTTTAAAAAATAGGTCGCGTTTTTTTAGCATGCTATGAAAATAAACGTCTTGTCATTTATATCGTCAATTTGTGTAACAAAATATTGTATTCGAACATTTTCTCAACTTTAAGGTACGTTTACATCTGACATTTATTGCATGAAATTTATGTCTGACAGTTGTTTAGTCCAGTGTAAACGCACAAAAATTTCTCTCGGACATATATTTTTGAGTGTTTACACTGGACTAAAGAACAGTCAGACATAAATATCATGCAATAAATGTCAGATGTAAACGTACCTTTACCTACGAATGTGTCCGTTAGTAGTGAAAGTGATGAAATTTTGAGCACTCCACCGGATATTTTAGAAAAAGCTCAAGCTGCCACACATAATTTGTTACCGTTAAAATCCAAAGAATGGTACGAAATTACCTATCGAAAATTTATGGATTGGCGACACAAGCATATGTCCTTTATTTAATAGAAGAAAATAAGTGGGCGTTACACGAGTTGTAAGCCCCATTACGCACTCGTAAACTTTTTCACTTCGTGCGTAATGGGTTACTTACAACTCTTGTTACGTAATATACTATTTATTAAAATTTACATGGGATATTAGTATACATTTATCAATAAAATGAAGTCAGTGGCCTTTAAAATTGTTCTAATTTAATAGGTTTTTAGAGGGGTTTCGCACTTCTTTGACCTCTCTACTTTTTTATACAATAAAATTTGCAGCGTCACTGAAATCCAACATTTGTTTTAAAAAAAATGTCTCTTAATACTTGTGGAAGCGTTAATAACTGAGTTATAGGCCCCTGGAGGAAGGTGAAAAATATAATTAAATTTTTCTATCGATATTAAACCACTGAATATTTGTTCGCGATTTTTTTGCTATTTTAAAATCCATTTATAATTATGCCCTTGTATTATCGAACATCTATGAAGTTGTAAAATAGTAAAAAAAAATATCATGTTTAGTGTTTAGTTATTTTTCACTAAGAGCTTCCTTCAGGGCCCTATAACTCGGAAAGTAAGGCTTTGACAAACAAATACTAAGAGACAAAACAATTTCAAAACAGATGAAGGATTTCAGTGGCGTTCTGTTTTTAAACGAATTTCATTGTCTAAAAAAATCAGGGGGTGAAAGTGTTGCGAAATCCTCCCAAAAACTTTTATTTTATTGGTAACTGTAACTTACATCTCAAGTACATTTTCATAAAAATATTTTAAGCCGTTTTAGAGTAAGGGCAAAAAATCACTTTCTACTTTAACGCCCTGTAACTTTTTTACTATTCATTTTTGTACAAGCAAGTTAGTTTGAATAGACTTATTTTCGATCCCAGAAACTTGATTTTTGTTACATCTTGTATAAAACACAAAACACTAACTTATAACCAAATTAACGTCTTAAAATAGTCAAAAACAGAAAATATTTTACAAAATAATCGCACCAAACACAAAATTTGAAACGTATATGAATTATCGATCTTGACGAGCCACTAGCATAGGCAAGCCAAAATTTGGTTTTTGCGACTATTATCTATGACGTCGGTGTACTCTTTAATATTGAAATAAAGTCTAATGGGAAACTATTAAGGAATACCCGAATAAATCATAAGTACAAGGGAATAGAAGAAAACAGTTCTAGCTCCAAAAAAAAAAAAAAAGAAGAGAAGTTGGGACAGATTTGAAAGTGTTAAATAGGCTTGACGGGCAATGTGCAATGCGCGAAATAAAAGTCTTGCATTTGTGGGTGCAGACATTTTTAGGTCGCCACAACCGCTTTTTACATTGTTTTGATAGATAACCGGATTTGACAGTTTTGTTATCTGCTATTTCACAAATGATTGCCGGTCACTCCAGATGATCAGGACGAACTGATTATCAGGCAACTATCTTGCGTTCACATGCATGTGTTTTATCAGTTGCATAGCACAGAAGAACCCGGTATTTTGTCTTTATGCACGAAAAGATTATCGGAGTGAAGAAAAAGAAAGTTTCGTTTATTTTTTCACAATACTGTTGTAAGAACACAACTCATCGTCAGGATTTATGTGAAGTACTTCATTTTGATTGATATGGCGGTATTCCACACGTTAGGGTTGAGAGGCACAAAGCAAAGTGTGTTTCCTAATCTAATTATATCACTGAAGTTTGTCTCAGGATTTTAACCTCTCAAATGTGGAGCATTCTGAACTGAAAATTCCAATGTCTTGTATTCTCTTAAAGTCAGGGGCGGCTCGTGACCAAAATTTTGGAGGTTTACTGTAGCAGAATATAGATCTCGGTACAGATGTAGGTAAAAAACTATCAGTGTTTTAGAAAGGTATATTGTAAACTTTCTAAAACACCGAAAGTTTTTTTCATATATCTGTACTGATAGCTATATTCTGTCACTGTGAACCCCCAAAATTTTGGTTACGAGCCGCCACAATGAGCTTATTTAATATAAAGATTTAAACGAAATAATAAATGAACCAATAAAAATAGTTATAAAATTTTGAAAATGTCAAAACAAAATCAAGAATTATGGTATAGCGGTAATACAACTATTTTAAGGTATAAAAAAATACTCGAAAAAACAACAAGAGTTGGATTTGATCGAAGAAGAAAGATTGTCAGGTTAGTCACGAAAAACAGCTGAGGTAAAACATGAATTACCCAAAGAAAGATATTATTTAAACCACTAAAAGCTGAGTTGAAATGAGGAATACTTTTAGATATTTATCAATTTTCATATACCTATAAATCAATTGTTTACAGTCACTTCTGTGCATAATTGTTTTGGATACTATTGTAACAATGTATCACTATAGTGGTTAAACTGAATTTAAATTCAATAAAAAATTTAATTAATAATTTTTCTACTAATATTTTAATATAACACAAAAACATTGTTTAACTGCATGGGCATGTAGTGAGGTAATTTATTTTTTTATAAATACCCTTTATTTTTTTAATATTTTGTGCTTTCCTTATTGATTATTTTATACATTAATTTACAATTTATAATTATTTATTATTGCAATTATTTATGCAAAAAGTTTAAGCATGCTCATACTACATACTTTACAAATATTTTTTTCTTCGAGGGGTGTTTCATTCGATATTGTATATTTTAATCAAAAATATTTTATATGTTTGTTTCATCAGAAGTTTCTGATGGTCTGAGATATGAGCAATTAAAAAAGGACAAACAAACGGCTTTGTATAGCAGGTTGCAAAATCAGAAGCATATGCAGAAACAGACTTATAAATAAACATATTTTTACTGAATCTTATTTGAATTTTATTATTCATTTATTTATAATTTACGAAAATGTTTACAAATTAATTGTATTATTGCATTACAGACTATTTAAGAATTGTTTAGTATAACCAACAAATAGAAAAGCTTTTTGTAAATACGTTTAAAAATTATGAAAAATTATTTTCAATTAATATATTATTTGTTCTAGACGTTAACTTTAATAGTTGGGTACTAAACAATGTTGGTAACTCTAATGATAATATATTAACTGAAATATGATATTGCTGTTCTTAAACTGGCTCTGTGAAACACAGACCACGAGGCTATTAAAATATCCTTTGGTTTTTGCCAAAGAAAGAAAAAAAATTAACATAGTAACCTATAAATTAAGTTTGCATTGTTAATAGACCTATCTCGTAATTGATGTTCTCTATTGCTCATGCGCAAATTCCATTCCTGCTTAAAATCATCAAATTTTTTGTTGTTATGTTTCCTTCCTTACCGTACCAATACGCTAGTTTAATGATGATGTAATTATGGTTCCACTGACAATTAAAGTGACAGTAGATTTTTTGAGTGCGTTTTGTTTGTTTTGTTTACCTAAATTATATTGCTTCTTTACTTTTATAAATATATTCCTAAAGTAAGTAGATAACATACATCAAATATACAATAGTTTAGTTACCAATTACATACCTTTAAACTATTTTTTATGACCTGTAAACAATATTTAGAAATAAACTAAAAACAGTAGAAACATAAATGTCAAATTTATTGATGTTTTTGTTAAAAATTTGGTTAGAATTAAATGTCAGTGGAACCAAAATGACATCACACTAAACTAGCGCATTACGTGCTTCTCTTATATCGGCCGGTGTTAGCCAGTTCTCGCCAACACACAAATCTTCTGACAAAATGAGAGCGTCTGGCAATCGTTAGAGGATATGCTCGATGATCTCATCTTCTTGATCGCATCCCCTGCAGAGTGCGGGTTCTGCCAGTCCCATGATATGGCAATTCTATCTAGTCATAGTGAAGTATTTGTTTGCTAGTAGTGTTGTCAAGATAACTGGCAAATTTTAAAAGAGCCTGTGTAGAAAATGCTGCCATAGAAGCGCAAACTTGAAACTTTCAGATATTATTTACTTCAAAAGTTAATAGAAATAAGTTTGCTGCAACTTTCTTGAAATTCGGCTCACAGTACCTTCTTGCTTGATGATCAATTGTAATTTTTATTAATAATATTCTATCATAAAAAATGAGCCTTTTGCAAATAGAACATATTATTATAACAATTTCATTTTCTAAACTTGAAGGTTTTCCACAGCTATCAAGATGGCAGCAAACTTTTAATTTAGCCTTGTGCAAATGTGTACCAAAAAAGTGTCATTGGCTCCCTACTATATGCGGTCCCTAGTATTTCATAGAGACAGTATTCATGGGCGTCATTACACAATTCTATAGGGAGGGGCAAATTTTTGAAAAAAATTTAGAATGTTTATTTATTGGAAAACAAAGAAACTGAAAAATAAAAGAGCATTTTCTTATGATGGATTCAATTATTCTGTGACGGCATGGCTTACTTCCGGTTTTTCCAGAAATAATAGAAAATCGCAATTTATTTTTAAATGGAACCCCTTTTTTATTGAAAATTTGAATTTCTGGGATATTTTTGTATAAGAAGCGTGTATTGAAAATTTTCTGTCAGTAACATATTAAAAAATATATTATCCAATATGACGGTCATTTTGACAGCTGACAGAAAATTTTCAACATACGATTCTTATCCATAAATGTCCCTGAAATTCAAATTTTTAATAAAAAAGAGGGTTTCCATTTAAAAATAAAAATTGATATAATCAATTGGATAAAAATTAACAACTTTAGTATTAACTCTAACAATTTCACTGACCTATTTGACAGAACCGATACTTAAAATGTCATAACAAGTCTCTAATGAATAAAATAACCCTAACCCAACAAAAAATACAAATACTAAAATAAAAAAAAGAAACTTAAAACACATTTTTAAAAAACAAACAGAAGGTGTGAAATAAAAGAAAAATATGAACAAGAAGACAGCCATACATCATAATAAAAATTTGAAATTTCTTTTTTATCTACCAAAAACATCGATAACAGAAAACATAATTTATTTTTTGTTTTCTCCGATTATTTTCGATGCATAGCGCAGTTTGAATGAGTTTAAAGAAATGACAATTTTCATTTTTTGTCCGATATTTTGAATCTCCCTGTAGATATTGTAACGTTTGTTTATTTTATTTATAGTTTATTTTTTTAAAACACTTTATTTATTTATTTATATATTTATTTATTTATTTATTTATAACATATTGTCGAGTAAAAGCCTGCCCTGTGTTTTGTTTACTCCTTGCCCGCAATATGAAGTCTAGCAATATAGAGACAAACGGACTGCTTCGAGAAACTACCAGAAAAAGCGATACGTGGCCGTTGAGTCATAAGGAGATGGAATTTTTGGACATTCGAGAGCACCTAGAAACTACGAGTACAGAGTGGGCTTTGTGTAAATAGCGCGAGTTGTCGACGAACGGGCAGATTCGAATAAAGCGTTGGACAGAAAAGATAAATTGCAATAAATTAGAATTGTGAGTTAAAATAGTGCTTAAGTATTATATAAATTAATTAGTACATCATAAATAAATTGTAAATAGTGTGTTTTAAATAAATAAACTATAAATAAATTAAACTATCGTCACAATACTAATTAATTTATATAATACTTAGGCACTATTATAACTCACATTTCTAATTTATTTATTACAATTTATCCTTTTTGTCCAACACTTAAATTGAATCTTCTCGTCCGTCGACAAACTCGCGCTATTTTTATAAAGCCAGCTCTGTACCAAAACACTCTTGGCTTTCCAGAAAGATGGAGAACTGCCTCTTTATGACTCATACGCTGCAAAGGGATCACCCCGGTAGCTTCTCGAAGCGGTGCGTTTGTCTCTATATGGCCAGCACTAGACTTCATACCGCGGACAAGGAGTAAACAAGGAACAGAGACGGTTTCGCGTCACAATATCAAAGGTTTCTTGGCACTATTTTAATGAACACAAAACTGCGCAACTGTTGTCTTTTTTAACCAACTTTCTATCTATTACCGTTTAAGAAATAGCAATTCTGTCCCTATGAAATAGTAGCGACCCTGTATAGAATCGATGACAGTTCTTTAAAGTAACGAGAAAGGTAATCGTCGTAGCCAACCCAACGGTTGTAAGGCGAGGATAAGAGAGAGATAACAAAAAAATGTTTGAAAAAATTACTAGATTCAAAAGTCCCGTGATTTTTAGCGTACGAGTAATGCGAAATTGTCAAAAAACGGGAAAGGTGGATTGCTTGTATATAAGTAGTGCTTCAAAAATTATAATGAAATATTTATTATTAATTTGTGTATCAACAGCGGCAATGGAAATTTCTGATCGAAACAGACAGTTTTTTTTTACGATCACACCTTTTATACTTTTTTTTGAAATATAGTATATAGGTAAATGTTATTATGGGAACCTGCCTCCTGTGATCTCTAATTCAGTATGTTTTATTTATTTTGTAATTTAACTTATACGAGTAACTAAGTGACTGCTTTTCCACTCTAGAATGGAATAGTTGTCAAATAATGATAGATCGTGGATAACGCACATTTTCATATTTGGATAGTTATCATAGAAACTATATTTGTATATAATAATCCTTATATTCTATGTTTATTTGTTAACGTTACTTAATAAAATGAAGCATCCCTCGTGAGCCGACTCTTGTAGCCAAACAGAATTATCGTTTCATTCAGTTCCTCCCATTCCAGGTCCCATTCCGGACCCTCTACTAAATTGGGTCACCGAACTGAGCAACGTTTCTGCCGTCCAGAAATGGATCTTACTAAAAAACCTAAAGGCCGCTGCTGTTTATCAGTTCAGGGTTAGCGCTGTAAACAGTGTAGGAGAGGGACCTCCCTCTGATCCCAGCAATCAGATTATGTTGCCACAAGAAGGTAAGTGTTGTTTAATGTCCTTTTATATAAATGTTGATAAATATGAATTATTTCTTTAAAAAATGGTATCAATATTACTTAATATAAATGTGCAATGAAAGTAACTGCTGTTCAAAATTATCACTGTTATTTTTTTTAAATATTATTCTTGTTTCCTCAGAGAATGGGACCCTCCTCGTTCAATTTTCATCAGCCTACGTTTTATATATTTCTTATGATAGCAGAGAATTACTCAAACTATTGAGTGGTGCAATAATTTTTAACAGTAGTATATTTATTGGTAATAATACACAGATCATTCAAGATAAGCAATAGTGTCTGGTTTTTATCTTAAAATAAATATTAAATTTGAAATCGCCTTTATTTCATATATAACACTACTGTCTTTGTTATCTTGTGTATTTCTTTCACCATATTCCTCAATAAAAAGGGAACACTTTCATATGAATTATTTCGTTTTCTGGAAATACACATGTATATAAATTAATGCACTTTCTGAATTATTTTTAAAATTAACAAATGAAGCCCTGAAAAGATACAAGAACTTATAGCGAAATTTTACACCTTTATTTTAAAGAAAGATTTATTAACCCAGCTTTGTTTATCTTAAGTACTGTATTTCTTATAGTAAATACCATTAATAAAATCATAATTTTCACTATCGATTCCTCATTTTTTTTACCATGCTTTAGTGTATCAGTAACTTGTTTTGATGTTTTTTTTCAACCGTACAGGCAGCTCACATGCATTTCTGTTTAAAGGTGGGATTTTTGTCAAATAATTAAATATCTGCATGACATGTTTTGTCCTTTCTCTTTTTGTATCTCACTATATATCTTTTATAAAAATACTTTTCCACTACAACTAAGTCGCATGTCGAGCGCTAAAAGTAGGATTTTTTTATGCACGTCGCAGAAGTTTTATTGTTAAATACCACAAAAATTTTGAATTTACTAGTAATATAGTCATTTTAGCACTTTCAATGTTACAATTTTGTTACTCTTTGAATTTATTGTTTTATCTTTATGTAAAAAAGAAATAATTATCAATACACAAATGAGTAATTTGTTACATGAGTTTTAATAAGAGTATACAATTTTTTTTTTGAGTTTTATAATGCTGTTTATTTCAAAAAAAAAATTTCTTACAAAAAGGCATATGCTTTGTAACGTCTTGAAGAGGATACCACACGAAAATTCTGAGGCATAAAAGTCAAGGAATTAATTAAATTCTAGCTATCTTATGTGATTTGTCAAAAAAATCCTACTGATGTATTTTCTTTTCAATTTCAACATATTAATTAAATGTAAATAAACAGATGTATTAAAGTTGTAATCCTACCCAATACCTAAACTAATTTTTACTGCATTGTCGATTATTGCAGGATTAGCTGTAGGCACGAATAACAAACATATTTTAAATTTTAAAATTCATTAATTAATGCGACAAGTTTTGCTACGTATTGTAATATATTAAGAGGGGTTAAATAGGTAGTCCCGAAATTTTATAAGTTTGAAATTCAAGGTAAATTTTGGGAAATATCTAATATTTAAATTCAAAGTTTTATATCACTTGTGATTCCAAGGTCTACAATTAATTTTAATAAAGAATTGGATATTATTAAACAAATTATTGCTATTAATAACAGTTACTCCCTCCTACTTATTAGATAAAATGGCATATAAAAATAACAAACATTGACCATTAATTCCATCTGCCCATATAATATTGAAAAACAATTTTAATCTATACAGGGTGAATCTTTTTTAACTTTGTATAGAAGTCATTGAAATAAACAAGTTTTTTGTTTAAATAAATTTAAAAAAATAAGAAACTTACAATTATTTATTTCAAAATGTATCCAATACGGTTCTATCTAATTTACATAATGTGTAGAACTTCTATCATTAATGTTAAATGTTGATCTTATTCAAGCCTTTGTAATTTTTCTCAATTCTCCTTTCCTAGACAAAAGATTAAAATGAAAACTAAAAAACAGTGGATTACTAAAGAAAATATTGCCAAGATGTTTTTTATTTACTATTTTAATAAGAAAATTCAGCAAACATAGCAAAGGAAACCTGGGCCATTGTCAACGAATTAAGGGGGAAACACCAAACCAAAACCTTGTAGTCCTCTATAGATCCCGATTGTTTCAACTCATTTTATTGTAATATTGCTCACAATTTGACGCAAAAAACTTACCTCTAAACAAGATCCTATTTTCTATTTCAAGAAAATTGATTTTACCACCCCCTCTATCTTTTATAACACCACCTTAGAACATCCAACTTTTTAATTAAATAAAATAAATGTATTTTCAAAACAATTAAATAAAATATATAAAAAATAAAGACAAAAATCTGACGAAACTAAGTATAACCTGTGACAGTGTCTAATATACAGGGTGTAACAAAGAGATGTATCACAGTTTCTGAGATCGAAAATAAGCCGATTTAAGATAAGTTGCTTATATAAAAAATGGATAGTAAAAAACTTACAGTGTTAAAATAGATATTTTATAACTAACTTTTGCTCTTACTCTATAATGATTTAACATATTTTTATCAAAATGTACATGAGATGTTAGTATACAGTGACCAATAAAATGGAGTCAGTAACGTTCAAAATTGTTTTATGGTAGGATTCTGGGAAATATCCTATATAAGCTACAGAATCTGTAAGATTAAGTAATGTAATGTAATTTTTTACAGATTTTGGCTTACAGATCTTATACATATATTGTCTCAGAATCGACCCATTATTTCTATAGGTTTGGGCTCCCTATTTTTTTAGACAATGAAATTCAGGTAAAATGAGTATGCCACAGAAATTTTACATATACTATGTTTTTTGTCACTTAGTATTTGTTTGTCAAATTCTTAATTACTGAGTTATAGGCCCCTGAAGGAAGGTCATAGTGAAAAATATTCACAATTAAATTTTTCTATTGGTCTTAAACTACTGAATATTTGTTCACGATTTTTTTTACTATTTTATAACTTCATTTACAATTATTCCCTTGTAATATCGATCATCTAGGAAGTTGCAAAATAGTTACAGGAGAAATTATGGCGTAATATTGTAAAAACTATCAGAACATCGGACGGACAAAATAAACTTATAATACTCTTCACAGTCTACTGTGTGAAGAGTATAATTATGTGCAATTTTTTTACCTTATATTTTTTTTTGATACCGATAAAAACTTTGTTGAGGCGCTTGAAAAAAAGTGTCTAGGGGGCCTTTTATTTTCTAAAGAAGTAGGGGAGTCAAACGGGTGCAGAACCCCTCTAAAAACCTATGGAATTAAAACAATTTTGTACGCCACTGATCCAGTTTATTGGTCACTGTATACCTACATCCCATGTAAATTTTCATAGAAATCACTTCTAAAATTTATCGACTTATTTACGACCCCAGAAACCGGTTAAATTTACTGTACATCTTTTTGTTACACCCTGTATGCATTGGTCAAAAATAGATATCCAGCTTCCTGAAGCATCTGTGTAACGAAACTAGTCACATTAATTAATAAATTATGAATAATCATAAAGTATTTTTGTTATTCACAAACATAGATTTTCATCATGTAATTGCGGATTCAATTCAATTTTTGACTCATATTTTTGTTTACTCTCATTTGCATTCTTGCATTTTATTTTTCAGTTGACATTTGTATTCTGAATATTGCTTTATTTACATTTGCAGTGGACCATAGTTGAAAATTCCGCTGATTTGCAAATTGTCGATTTTAATAAGATTTACATTTTGTTATTTTTCGCCGTCTTTTCAATGATCCATAAATTCCTTTTATAATTAAATTTTACTCTCATCCTATACCTATGTATACAGATTATTTTGTTACCATAATATATTTCTCTTTGCTGAGAAAAAAAATTACTAGAGATGAGCATTTCATATAATTTTTTAATCATTATTTTTTATTTGACTTATTTTCTGGAGGTTATATCATATTTTGGATTTGTTTATTTTAGTTAGATACTAAAGTAACTTAAAATCCCATTCTCAAAAAAGCATTCCAAAAAAGGATAACAGCGTTTTGCCACATCTTATATCTGTCACTATCACTTTGAAGTTCGTACTCCATCTTAAAAATCCGTAAAACTGAATTGACAGTTCAAAATTCAAACCGACTACTTAAAGATGATGACGTTTTCATGAATACGAAAGTCAAAGTAATTTTGGTTCGAATTTTTGTTTATACAGTTTGACAAAAAATGTTTTTATTTCGTGTTTTGCGATGGGTTCGATTGACAATCTCATGCGACGTTAAAAAAACAGATTTCGCTCAATTATTACAAACACATATACTTTGATTACTATACGGGGCAAGAGAGAGGTCCGACACGCCCAACATAGGGCGCGGCCATTTTGAACCCTATGACACAGTTTATAGCTAAAGAATCAGATCGCTCACTCTGCGTCGGCACTTTTGATCTCAATGTTCCAGTTTATACACTGCGTAAATCGGATAATACAATATATGACAACCGCCTATAATAAAACAGCAGTCTTCTGCGTATCCTGAATTTGTATCCCTGGAGTGGATGTTATTTTGGAACTTTCAACTGGTCCGAGTGAGCTAACCACATACTTTGATTACTATACGATACAAGAGAGAGGTCCGACACGCCCAACATAGGGCGCGGCCATTTTGATTCCTATGCCACAGTTTATAGCTAAAGAATCAGATCGCTCACTCTGCGTCGGCACTTTTGATCTCAATGTTCCAGTTTATACACTGCGCAACTCGGATAATACAATATATGACAACCACCAGTAATAAAACAGCAGTTTTCTGCGTATCCTGAATTTGTATCCCTGGAGTGGATGTTATTTTGGAACTTTCAACTGGTCCGAGTGAGCTAACTGATTCTTTAGCAATAAACTGTGACTCCAAAAATAATATTCACTGACACTGACAGCAGCAAGCAAAATATCAGGTGCGTTTTAATCATTCGCTTCTGCTTCCGGAATTGTCGGTTCAGTCGTTCTAACCTGTCAGATTAAAACAAGAAAACCGACTATTCCGAAGCAGAAGCGGATGATTAAAACGCACCTATTAAAAATATTGCGCCAAGATGTAGGCAACACGTAATAAGGGTTCAAAATGGCGGAGTTTTCTATCTCCTTTTAAAAGGCACTCAGAAAGCTGCGCAGTGCGACCATTCTCCGTATAGTAAAAGAAAATCAAAGTACGTGTTACAAACATAACTATTTAAACATTTTTTACTATATTATTTTTGTGTCATTTTGTCTTCTTTATCATGATAGAAGAAATGAAGGAAATAAAACCGACATAAACACTATTTTGCGATATGACAAGATGGACGCACTTCGAGTGACGTAAAGTGTGATGAAAATGGTGACTTGAGTCGTACTTTGATTTATTTGAAGTCAATAATTGTATATTTCAAGACATAAAAACGTATGTCTCTGAAATACTGTTGGCAATGATCGGATTTAATACGCGTCTACTTCATTAAAGGCAGTTCCACCGGCAAATCTAGTTTTGTCGAGGCTTACGTTTGTTCCATTTTTTATTAATTCTCTTTTCTACCAACATAAAATTAATTTTAGGAAAATGACATAACAGGTGTCTCTTTATTTTAACATGGCAAATGTCAATCATCATTTTCAGTTGATTAGCCTGTGTTTTTAACCATCTAATCCCCTTTTTCATTCCTTTAAAGACTGCAACTTCAAAAATCCTTCCTTAATGGATGTATGTGTTTTAAAGACAATACATCTTCAAAATTCCTATCGGTTTGGGTTGTGGGTTGATTATGAGGGCATTAATCAATAAAGAAATTGCATTCACAAGTCCATTAGAAGGTGAAAAATTATTAATAAATTATTATATTATAAATATTATATTTTCTAACGGAATTTTCATTACTACGATTACTTATTCATTTGAAAAAAATTATCAGTTTTAATTCACTTGTATAAAAATAACTTGTTCATAGCACCCTCTGGTCCTCCTGTCGGATTTGTCGGTTCAGCCAGAAGTTCCTCCGAAATTATAACCCAGTGGCAACCTCCTTTAGAGGAGCATCGAAACGGACAAATTTTGGGCTACATCATCCGCTACAGACTCTACGGATACAAAGAAAGCCCCTGGACTATACGGAATATTACAAATGAGGTAAATTTACTTGAACACATTTGGATTGTTCTGAAAATTATAACATATATCTTTTTTAGGCCCAAAGAAATTATCTCATTACCGATCTGATAACTTGGAAAGACTACGTGGTTCAAATCGCGGCTTACAACAACAAGGGCGTTGGAGTTTTTACGGACGGCGCCAAGATCAAAACGAAAGAAGGCGTACCTGAAGCGCCACCTATCATCAGAAAAGTCAAAGCTCTAAATTCTACGACGATTCAAATATGGTGGATACCGCCAGATCCGCAAAAAATAAACGGCATCAATCAAGGTTACAAAATTCAAGCTTGGCAATGGCATCCCACTAGGGGTCACATAGAAACCAACATGATGACCGTACATCCAAATTTATTGGATCCTTACGCCGAACAAACAGCTGTTATGACTCATTTAGAAAAGTTTACCTCCTACAATATTACAGTGGTTTGTTTTACCGACCCAGGAGATGGACAAGCTAGTGATAGACATTATATCAAAACAAAAGAAGATGGTAAGTAAAAAATAACTATTCAAAAAAAAATCTATCTATCTAATATATTATTTTTGTACAGTTCCAGATGAAGTTTCGAATCTGCAATTTGACGAAATTAGTGATAGAGCTGTAAAAGTAATTTGGCAACCTCCTAAACGGATAAATGGTATTCTAATCGGTTACCAGATGAAATATCAAATCAAAGATGATCCTAGTACAGTCCGAGTGAAAAATTTAACATCTGACATTTTAAGCATAAAGGTGAACAATGTTTAATATAAAATTAAAATTCAGCCCAAAAAGGGGTTTCAGTACACATTTGAAAACTGTTTGAATCTTTTCAGGTAAACGATCTTCAAGCCACCACTCACTACCGCTTCGAAGTGACAGCATGGACAGAGGTCGGTCCTGGACCTTCTAAAATTGCCATAATTCAATCCGGTGTTGAACCAGTGCTGCCGCATCCACCATCAAAATTGGCGCTGTCGAATATAGAAGCGTTTTCGGTCGTTTTACAATTTACTCCTGGATTTGATGGAAATTCTTCTATAACAAAATGGACAGTCGAAGCACAAACATCTAGGTAAGAAAATAAATAACGTCAGGTTTTATTAATCGGGTTTCCTAAAAATATTTGGCATTTCTTTCTGAGACATCCTTTATTTTAGTGGATTTAAAATATTTAAATAATACTTTTCTTTTAGAAATGCTACCTGGTTTGTAGTTTACGAAATAAGCGACCCTGATGCCACAACAATTACTGTGACTGGTTTAGTACCTTTCACAGTGTACAGATTAAGGCTCATTTCCAATAATGTAGTTGGCTCTTCTATACCTTCGGAAACTACCAAAGAATTTCAGACCATCCAAGCTCCACCCGCTTTCCCGCCGAAAAATGTTACAGTTAGAGCGATGAGTGCTACAGAATTGAGAGTCCGTTGGATCGTAAGTGTTTTGTAATAAACCTTACTTCAATTATCTTTCTAATGATCTGTAGTGAATTTTTTAAATATATATCTTATTTTTTCAGCCTCTGCGACAAATCGAATGGTTCGGCAATCCTAGAGGTTACAATATAACCTATACAGAAATTCGTACAGGATTCGCGCATAGTTCCACCATTGAAGACCACACGGCAAATTCTCATGTCATAATTGGTTTAGAAGAATTTGCACTCTATGAAGTCAAAATGCAAGCCTGTAATGATGTAGGTTGCTCTCCGGCAGGACCTACTGCACTGGAAAGGACCAGAGAATCAGGTAATAGTTCTTCATTGAACTAATTTTTATATATATATATACACACACCTAACTATTAATATGAAGCCCGACATAAACTAAAGGGTAATGGAAGCCAGGTGTGTGGGGTACACTTCTTGTACTATCATGTATAAAAGTGTGCTGCGGTTATTGCGAAACCCGCTAGGTTTTATGCATTGTATGAAGCCCGAATGTATAAAAAGTTAATAGTTATTCGATTATAAGAAGCCCTACAGCGTTGCCAATAAAATAATGAATTTTGTTATGTAGGAGGTTATCTATGGTATATAAATATTTACAAATAGCTTAAATGCCCTGACGACTGCATCTTCTTGAGATCTACAATATCTTAGGAAATATTAAATTAAAATTTGCAGTTAATTAAATTCTTCTAATAAGAACAAAAAAAATTGCTTTTTTCTTTCAAATAAATCTTGTCATGATTGTTCTCGTTGTTAAACACTATATTTATGAAACTGAAAAATAATTGACGTTTTCCTATGCACCGTGCCGGAAATTTTTTTCCCGTGCGTTAAATTTCGATGCTAAAATAACAGTTATTTTCTTTAAAAATTAGTACATAATACAAGGTCCGTGAACTTGACACCACAACATTTCAAAAAATCTGATGTGTCCAACACGTGACTTTCCTATCTAGTTATTAGGTACAGACCTTTTCCGGTTATTTTGTACAACCTATTGTATCGTCCCTGTAAATATTTAGAGAATGAACTAAATACATACCTTTTCCACACACAACTTACTCGAAACATTTTTTTTTATTTTCTCCGTTTTTGGAAAATTCGAAATTGCAGTTTTTCTCAAATATCTCGAATACGGTCCAGTTTAGGGAAATCATGTATAAAACATAAATTATAAAGAATAAAATCATAAGCAACAAGTTTCTTAAAAATTAAAATTTTGTACATTTTGTGAAATTTCTAGAACACGGCCCATTTAAGAAAAATTTTGTATGGTACAAAAATTATAGAAAATGATATTGCAAACAACTTTTATTTAAAAAAATTTCTTCTCCAATTATAAAGTAAAAAACGACCCCCTATAAAACACCCTCCAGATGTTTAACTATGTCCAAAATTTAGACAGCTCACCATAGAATGTAGTTAAGCTTAAGTTTAAAATTTAGTGTTTTTTTCTTTATTCATTTATGAGATATAATTTAATATTCGAAATTTTCACATTTCCTCAAATTTCTCGAATACGGATCATTTTGGTAAAATTAAGTATGCAACAAAAATTATAGAGAATAATATTGTAAACAACTTTTATTCAAAGAAGTTTCTTCTCCAAGCGTAAATAACAGATATATTCCATAAAGTGGGAAAATGACCTCTTATACAGTACTCCCCGAGATGTTCTGACTATGCCCAAAATCTATTCAGCTCACAGCAAGGTAAATTAAAGTTTAAGTTTATAATTTGGTGGTTTTTCGCTTTATCCGTTTTTGAGTTATGTTTAAAATTAAAAATTTTCACTATTCCTCAAATTTCTCGAATACCGGCCATTTTAGGAAAATTATGTATAGGACAAAAATTATAGAGAATATTATTTCAAACAAATAACGGATATAATCCATAAATTAGGAAAATGACCTCCCATAAAGTACCCCCCTAGATGTTTCGACTAGACCCAAGCTCACTGCAGGGTAGATTAAAGCTTAAGTTTATAATTTGGTGTTTTTCTCTTTATCCGTTTTTGTTCAAGTTCAAAATTCAAAATTTTCACTATTCCTTAAATTTCTGGAATATGGTCCAGTTTAGGAAAATTATGTACATGGCAAAAATTATAGAGAATAATATTTCAAATAACTTTTATTTGAAGTAGTTTCTTCTCTAGGTTTAAATAGCCGATATATTCCATAAAGTAGAAAAACGACCACCTCTAAGATCGAAAAAAATAATAATTCCTATACTTTCCTTATCTGTAAACAGATAGGAAAGGAAAATGGTGTGAAAATTTTTGGTTTGCCCACGTTTGTTCATCCAGTAACTTTTGTTGCCCACCCTCTGATATCAAAATATATCAAAAAGAATTTTCGCGGGCCAACTTTCAGATAAAAGTAAACATTTTAAAAGTTTAATTCCATAGAGGTATAGCATTTCTTTTGCACACGTTTGCCCATCAATTAGCTTTTATAAAAAAAATTAAAAAAATATTTACAAAAATAAAATATGGTAACTGCATTCGGTAATCATTCGTTTGCCCATCTTTGCCCATTTTTTAGTTTTTCCAATTTGCATCCCCTTTTTGAAAAAATTCAAATAAAAAACAATTTTACAAAACCGTTAAGTTGGCACCACAACATTGCAAAAATAATGTTAAATTTGCCCACGTTTGCCCATCCATTAGTTTAAAAAAAAATTAAAATAAAAATAAAACAAAAAAACAAAAAAAACAAAAAAAAATATTCACAAAAATAAAATATGATAACTGCATTCGGTAATCATTCGTTTGCCCATGTTTGTCCATTTTTTAGTTTTTCCAATTTGCATACTCTTTTGCGAAAAAATTCAAATTAAAAAAGACAACTTTATAAAACCACAACATTGCAAAAATAATGTGAAATTGGCCCACGTTTGCCCATCCATTAGTTTAAAAAAAAATTGAATTAAAAATAAAACAAAAAAAAATATTCACAAAAATAAAATATGATAACTGCATTTGGTAATCATTCGTTTGCCTGTGTTTGCCTATTTTTTAATTTTTCCAATTTGCATACCCATGTAATTTTGCCCATCCATTAGTTTAAAAAAAAAAATGTAATTTAAATTAAAAAAAAGAACAAAAAAATTATTTGCAAAAAAAATATTGACAAAAATGAAATATGTTAACTGTATAAGGTAATCATTCGTTTGTCCATGTTTGCCCATTTTTTAGTATTTCCAATTTGCATATCCGTTTTTAAAATTGTTACCTGTTAAATTGTCGTTTTTAATTTGATTTTTTTTTGAAAAGAACATGCAAATTGGAAAAACTAAAAAATGGGCAAACGAATAATTACCTACTGCAATTATCATATTTCATTTTTTTTAATATTTTTTTGGGAATATTTTTTGTTTTTTTGTAATTTAAATTACTTTTTTTTTCAAAATATTAATGGATGTGCAAACGTGGGCAAACGATGGGCAATCAATCCTCTTACAAAATTTCGCATTATTTTTGCAATTTTATGGTGCCAACTTCACGGTCCTGTTTTATTTTGATTTTTTTCGAAAAAGGATATGCAAATTGGAAAATCTAAAAAATGGGCAAACATGGGCAAACGAATAATAACCTAATGCAATTATTATCATATTTCATTTTTGTGAAGATTTTTTTGCCAATAATTTTTTTTAATTTAAATTCCTTTTTTTTCAAAAACTATTGGATGGGCAAACGTGGGCAATCCTTTCACAAAATTTCACGGACCTCATATAACAAGCTGTAAAACAGAATGTATTCTGTTGATATAACGCCATATGGAATTTTAATGTATCATTTTATTAAGTTTCAGTCCAAGACTCCTAATTATTAACTATATATTTTTGACATTACTTGATAATTTACATTCAGGCGTCTTTAATAATCAGTAACCAATCTTTTCATGTCAATTATTTTCTTTCTTAATAAAAGTTTTTAATAGCATAATCGAATTTTTTATGATTTTCAAAGAGTTGCAACAAAAAATATCGTTCATTCAATATATTATTAATTGAAAAATAAAATAAAATATTAAATATTTTACAATTAAATTACTTACTAAAATGTTAAACTTACTGTTTGCGAGATAATAAATAACTATAAACAATATCACTTAAGAGAAATTCTTGCTGCATTAGCACCGGATGATATAAAAATTATAATTATTTTTTAAATTTTAATAAGTTCTCTCTTGTTGACGAGGGACGAAAAGTTTTTGATAATCTGAAAATTATAAAAACAACTTTTGTTTAAATAATGTTCTTCTTTATTCGTAAATAACAGAGCTATTCGTTAAAGTAAAAAACGACTCCCTATAAAGTATCTCCCAGATGTTTCAACTAAATCCAAAATTTAATCAGCTCACTGCAGGATGGATTAAAGTTAACTTTAAAATTTGGTGTTTTCTCTTTATGCTTTTTTGAGTTCTCAGAATTAAAAATTTGCACTTTTCCTTAAATATCTCGAACACGGACCATTTTAGGAAAATTATGTATAGGATAAAAAAGTAACTTTTATTTAAAGAATTTTCTTCTTCAAGAGTAAATAACAGATATATTTCATAACGTAGAAAAACGACCTCCTATAAAGTACCCCGCCCAGATGTTTCGACTATGCTCTAAATCTAATCAGTTTACTGCAGGGTGAATTAAAGCTCAAATTTAAAATTTGGTGTTTTCCTCTTAATCCGTTCATCCGTTCATGAGTTATTGAGTAGACATAGTCAGACGAAAATAGTAAAAAAACGGTTTTAGGGGACTCCAAAACGTAATAATCCGGCGAAAATTTAAGGTAAAAAAAAATCATGATTCCTACACTTTCCTTATCTGCATACAGATAGAAAAGTAAAAATGTCAATGTAAATTACATAGTTCTATTAGCAGTTTGGAAATAAAATAAAAATATAGGTCTGCGTTAAAAAAAAAACATTCCTGATAATAGCACTTCGGATACGAAACATTGGGTTTAAAATTTACCTACCTCTATTTATAGTAAATAAAAAAATTTTGATACCATGTTTTGCTATTTTGAGAATAACATGTTGTTTTCCAATATAAAAAGTTAGTTTTTAATTTTTTATCCTACATAATAAAATCCTAATTATTAAATTTAAATGCGTACGAAAAGAACATACTTTGGAATACTATAAGTTGATTTTTCAAGTAGCGATAAATAAGTTTTATTGCCTCCGCTTCCGAGAGTAATATAAATCATCACATAACAACGTTGCCAGTTATGTGGGCTTCAAAAGATTATCAAAATGTACCGGGCAGCTAATAATCGATAAGATATATTGAAAGTCAAATAAAGTTTATACAGATTTCTCCTTAGCACCATCTCTGCAAAACACGGTGAACTATCTGCTGTATGTTTTGAGAAATTCTATGACCATAACATGCCCAGACGAAATTTTGCAATTTGACGCCATCTATAATAAAATGACTGGTAAACTACTTTATACATGGAAATTTTTACGAAGCCCGAAGGTGGGCTTCGTAAGTGAGTGTCGGGCTTGGTATAAGCGATAAAGTATAGCGGTTTGGGCTTAGTATTGAGGCTTAATATGTGTATATATATATATATATATATATATATATATATATATATATATATATATATATATATATATATATATATATATATATATATATATATATATATATATTTTGCTGTATTGGTTATTAATATACTTATTTTCTACTCAGTTCCATCATTTGGTCCTATGAATGTAGAAGCCAATTCCACTTCTTCCACAACCATAGTAGTAAAATGGGGGGATGTACCAAAAGAACACCAAAATGGTTTGATTGAAGGTTTCAAAGTCTTTTATGCCGCCGAAAACAAGTCGCCCATCCAATATAAACAAATTGCCAGCAATGCAACTTTTACTACTACCCTCACGGAGTTAAAAAAGTTTGTAATTTATCACATTCAAGTTAAAGCGTATACAAGACTCGGCGATGGCGAACCTAGTAAACCAGCTGTAAGAGTTAGAACATTTGAAGATGGTAAGTAGTAGCTTTTTATTGTTTTTCATTATTTCTGTATTTTTGGGAAATATGTTGCCTATTACTGTAAGTTCTTTCTGAAATACTTTGCCAACCTAGTTGGTATAAATTCGTTATAAATAAACCATAAAGGAAAAATAGAAAAACTGAAAGACTACGTCACAGAAACAACGAGCTTCCATTTCCTTCCTGAAAACAATTATTCTTTTGGCTAATACCGCAACAGGCATTGCATTATATCGAAAGGTAAATAGAAGAGGTGGAAAATAATTTTCAACACTCTAACTTAGGCGAAATGTGGAATCATTGCAGAATTTCTTGGACTACCAAAACCAAAGAAAGTTGCAGTTACAGTCCACTGTTTTCGAAGTTCCTTCTAGTTTAAAAATGAAGTATAGTTATGATGAAATTGACACTTTAAGTAGTGTCTTACAAATGGGATTAATATTAGTATTAATTTTAGTAGTTACTGTTAATAATTGATAATAAAAATTTGCACTTTCGAAAATCATTATAATTTTTACTGCTTCCATCTAAGCTTGCTATCAATGGTTTAGAATTAAAAAATATTTTTAATGCACTTCTTTGTAAACGTCAACTTTTTAAAACTGAAGACCATCGCTAAAAATGTCACCTTTATTGACACTTATGTAAGAACATCCTATATATTTATTTATTTACTTACAGTTCCTGGCGCGCCTTCAAACGTATCTTTTCCTGACGTTTCTGTAACGTCTGCGAGGATAATTTGGGATGTACCAGAAGAACCTAATGGAGAGATTCTTGCTTATAAAGTCACTTACCATTTGGATAATGTTAAAACCAATAATAAATTTTCCAAGGAGTTTCCTCCCTCTGGTAGAACTTTCAGGTTTGTGATTAATTCTATAAAATTTGATAATTGTAAATGTTACTAGTTAAAACAGAAATATATCTAAATAAAATTGATTTTTCAGGTTTACACAATTGGAACCAGAAAAATACTATTTATTCTCAGTAACCGCCCAAACTAGATTAGGTTGGGGCAAAACCGCGCATGCTCTCGTATTTACTACTAATAACCGTGATATTCCACAACCGCCGTCAATGCCGCAAATAAGCAGAAGTCAAATTCAGAGTCATCATATCACTTTCAGTTGGACGCCTGGTAAGTTACAACATTAAAATTGCATTTGATGGAAAAAAAATAAATAATTGAATATTTTAAACGTTTTCTACTCTAATTGTTCCTTAAACCTTGTTTTTATTTTTTTCTTAGCTTGTGTAGCTTTAGGCTCAATATTAGTGAAGCTCTCAAGTTAGAGTTTTAGCTCCCACTCAAAATTGATATTGTTATATTCTGCCAGTGCTGGGCAATCTATTGTTAATTTGCAGTGCTTTAAGGTCTGCCTAGTTCTCTGCCATGGTAAAAATTCATATTTCTAAAAGAAGAAGGCCTCATAAAGTCATGAATGACACAACATATTCTATTCTATTCCATGGAAAATTAGATTATTTTCCTATAGTTTCTCTTAAAAGTTCGCAATTCATTTGAGAATAGCTTTTATTCCACTACTATAACCTCTTTTTCACCATAAGGGATTCTTGATTTGAGTCCCCTCTAGTTTCCTACATCCGCCGATTGAGTTATTTCAATCTAAAATACTTAATTTCCTTTGCCATTTGTTATAGTTCCTACCAAAAAAAACTTCCCCAAGTTTCCTATAAATGTAACATCTTTCAACGATTTTAGGTACCTGCTGCATCTTTTTGAAAACAACGCCCCCAAATTTGCAATTTTTACAGAATGCTTGCATCCTCTGTATATAAATTATTTTTATTCATGTTTCATGTTAATACATTTCTTCATTAGCATTCAAGGTCTAAAAGAAAACGAATATTTTTTCAGATATCGTAAAAATTAATAAATATTTATAAAAACTTTCAGGCAGAGACGGATTTGCACCTCTGAGATACTACACCGTTCAAAAAATGGAAAACGGAGGACCTTGGCAATCGTTGTCTGAAAGAGTCGATCCACAATTAACTTCGTATACAGTTTCAGAATTAAAACCTTTCACCTTATATAGGTTTCGAATACAAGCAACGAACGACATCGGTCCAAGTCAATTCAGTCCAGAATCTATCGAAGTTAGAACTTACTCGGCTGCTCCAAGCAAAGGTATTGTTACAAATGGTTCATTTATGTTTGGATTATAACTTTTTAATGTTTTATTTAGTATTGAAAATGTCAATTACTGTTAAACAAATAATGGAAATATAATCTAGCATTGTACTGTGATTTCTTCTTTTTTAAATATATTACTTTATCTTGTTTATATCTGAGGTATTTTTAAAAGGGTTACAGATGTTATTTTTAATTTTTAAGGTGTTGCTGGTTTGAAAGCTGTTCCGATTACAACGACTAGTGTTGAAGTGTTTTGGGAACCGGTGGACGAGCAGTACTGGAGCGGAGACACTAAAACCGGTGGTTACAGGGTCATATTTCAACCTGTGTCCGATTTTCCAACGGCACTTCAAGCCACGCCCAAGGAAGAAGTTATGGGCATAACTGTTAGTACACATTTTTATATATTTTCTTTATATGCTATTATATATCTAAAAATGTTTACCATTTACGAAAGTAAAAAATATATGAAGTATGATTCAAAAGCTATTATTTTTTGTAGGCAAGCAAAATGGTTTTAAGCGAACTACAACAAGACCGTAATTACGAAATCGTTGTTGTACCTTTTAACACTCAAGGTGAGGGTCCAGCTAGTCCACCAATCACGGTATATGTAGGTGAAGCAGTACCAACTGGAGAACCTAGAGCATTACAAGGAACACCGGTGTCATCCACTGAAGTAACGCTAAGATGGAAACCGCCGCAGCAACAGATGCAAAATGGGGAACTACTAGGTTATAAAGTAAGCAAACATTTTTTTATTTCAAACTAAAGGCAATTACATAAAAAAATATTTTAGTCTTATACATTTTTTCGGAATAATGTTTCCAGATAATAAAGAGTAAATTTTTTTAGATATTCTATTTGGTTCTGAATTCACCCCAAGAGCCTCAGTACGGTAAAAAATGGGAAGAAGAAATCGAAGTAGTACCAGCATCCACCACCACGCACAGCTTAGTTTTCCTCGATAAATATACCGAATACAGGGTTCAAGTGTTAGCTTTCAATCCAGCTGGAGATGGGCCTAGATCTCAGCCTATTAGAGTCAAAACTTTGCAAGGCTTGCCGAGCGCACCAACTAACCTTACGTTTTCCGAGATCACTATGAATAGTTTAATTGTGTCTTGGGATCCCCCTAGAAAGAGGAATGGAGATATCATAAGTTATATTGTGACCTACGAAACTGCTGAAGAGAATGAACGTAAGTAAATTAATATATTAGATGTTAAACGGGCAAACTGAGATTTGAATCATCTATCACTCTATTGTTTTGTTTTTATTATATGTAAAGATGTTGTGTTCTCTATTTGCTGGTTCTTTATGATGTACCTCTCTTTGCGTTGTGGAAGGTTGAGAAATAATGTTCACATATTTAATTTTTGTATGTTGTGTGTTATACAATGTGCTTACAACATTTTCAAATTATCTTTATCTCAGAAAATAATTATTTGCACAATACAGCATTCACTTGATTCAAGCCGAAGTGAACTGTGAGAGTGACAATGATGGAATAAATTTTAAAAAATGTCAATTAAGTCACTCAGACGTAACCGTTCACACCTGTAAGGTTGGCATCAATATTCATCTGCTCATAATAATTGGTTACATCCGGTGTGGTTGCGTTTTTAATGCGCTAGTTCAGTGTGATGTCATTTTGGTTCCATTGACATTTAATTCTAACCAAACTTTTAACAAAAACATCAATAAATTTGACATGTACGTTTTTACTGTTTTTATTTTATTTCAAAATATTGTTTACAGGTTATAAAAAATAGTTTAAAGGTATGTAATTGGTAACTAAACGATTGTATATTTGATACATGTTATCTACTTACTTTAGGAATATATTTATAAAAGTGAAAAAACCGATATAATTTAGGTAAACAAAACGAACAAAACGCACTCAAAAAATCTACTGTCACTTCAATTGTCAGTGGAACCATAATTACATCATCACTGAACTAGCGCATAATAATTTGTTACTAATGGCTCGCGCTTGCACAGAGGCGTATTCAGAATGTATTTACGGTTAATGTATGTTTTAATAATACAAGTTTTTAAATGAATGTTTCGTCAAAATCAATCTATATCGTGAACTTTTAACTAAAACACATTTTATATGATTTGATTTAAAAACACTACTACCGTTTTAGAGATATTCACGTTTAAAGTTTTATTGACAAGCGTCAATACTTTGGTCAATTTCTACAAACACAACTGTTATTATTTTCAGTATTCAAATGAAATTATTGTATTGTAGGTTTTAGTAAGCAAAAACAAAAAGTGACAACGACATATTTACATGTCCAAAGTTTGGAAGAAGAAGTAACTTATACGTTCAAAGTCAAAGCGCAAACTATCGATTACGGACCTCCGGTGGCCAGTAATGTAACTACGGGACCTCAGGAGGGTTCACCTAGTACTCCTAAAGAACTTAGTCTGGTAAAAACCTTGTCCAGCATTGAGTTGAAGTGGTTCAATGGAGCTACCGGGAAAGGACCGATTTTGGGGTATTACATTGCGTCTAGGAGAAAAGGTAAAATATATTGTAGCATATTATTATCACTTTTGTGTTTTTTTACTATTAATTTTTTCTTATTTTCCATGACATTATAAAATAGTATAGGACTTAACAATTTATTTTACATGGCTTTCGTGTTTTACTAAATTTTGTTAGATCTCTTTTTTAAATTAATTTATTTTTTCCTCATTTGATGCAATATTTCATATAACTCTTTAGAATAAACTTTAAATAATATCAATTTTAGATGTAGATGATCCTTGCTCGTTTATTCATTTATTAATACTATTTTTTTTATTAGATGATATCAGATGGCAGACAGTAACAAAAACAACGAACGGTCCCTTACAAGAATTCACTGTTTTATATCAAAGTCTCCTACCATCGACCTCTTACAAATTCCGGGTAATCCCTTACAACAAATTCGGCATTAGTTATCCCGCCTATTCCGACGAATCAGTATTAACCCCATCGAAATTGTACATGGAATATGGATATCTACAACATACGCCGTTCTATCGGCAAACGTGGTTCATGGTCGCGCTGGCTGCGACTTCTATAATCATTATTATAATGGTTATTGCGATATTGTGCGTCAAGAGCAAAAGTTACAAATATAAACGTAAGTAAAAATAGTTTTCGTTGATATTTTTGTAATTAATATTAATATCTTTCTTTATTTAGCAAAGGTTAATATACAATGTTAATAATATAATTCTTATACTGAAAATATACAATATAAGAGACACATAAAAAAATCTCATTATTACAAAATTTCTACAACACGCATACACAGAATAAAAATTACATAATTGAAACGACATTCATTGATTTTAAGTTAGAACTTTTTAAGAAAAACGTTTTTAACTTTGTTTTAAATACTTTTATGGAGTATTAATTTTTTTTTATGAAATACTGCATTTTTGGCTATTTTACTCTTTTTTGGTGAAATGAAATAGTGTTCTTGCTTTTTAGTGTTATATGAATGTATTTCGTTATTATACATAACTTATTTACCATATACCTCGATGTTTACCCGTTTGTATTTTAAAAACAAAAATCAATACCAAAAATTAACTACTGTCTTTAACTGGCAGCCAGTTTGTTTCTTAACGTTATAAACCTCTTGAAAACAACTACTCCCTTGGCTAATACCGCAACAGGCATTGCATCATATCAAAAGTTGAATAGCAGAGAGAAAATAACTTTGATTTTGCTTCTTAACGAGAAAGTCATTCTTGGACCAGTTTCGTCATTATTAGGACTCTTAAGCAAGAAATAATAATGGAGTCTGATGACAAATAAAAATTAACTCGTACACATTAACAGCGGTTGAGAAGTGTGTAGATGGCGTTACGATTTTTACTCATTGAAAATCTAGATACTTTTCAACTGCTATTAATGTGTATGGATAAATTTTGTTTTGTCATCAGAGTCCATTAGAAACTGAAGTCAATATTGTCTATTTTTTGCTGAAGAAACTGGTCCAAGAATAACTTTTTCCTTAGGAAGCAATATTAAAGTAAGAGTTTTGAAAATTATTTTCTATCTGCTATTGACCTTTTGATATAATGCAATGCCTGTTGCGGTATTAGCCAAGATAGTAGTTGTTTTCAAGAGAGAAATGGTTGCTCGTTGTACTTGTGACACGGTCTTTGAGCTTTTCTCTTTTGATAGAGAATTGTTGAATAATTGAATAATTAAGACGTGAAAAAATTAAAGTATTTTAAATTACCCTTTTTTGTGAAAATTTACAGATAATGTGAACATCTAGATAAATAATATTATTTAATTTATTTAGCTAGTTTGCTAATATTACAATATACAAATTTAGTAAAAATATACATATATAAGTCAAAACATAGATAATTTAGATAAAATTAAAACTAACTAAAATGCTATAGGTTGTTACTGTTTCTGGAGAAATATTCATCAATTAAGAAGTCTGTCACTTTGACTTTAAATGTAGTTACAGACGTTACTGATTTAATTTACTCTGGAAGTGTGTTATATTGATTTAGACCTTTAAAAAATAGTGAATTTTGTGTTGCACTCTTAACAACTGTTTCAATATAAAAGTTATTTCTGCTTCGCGTTGGATAATTGTGCACATTAGAGTGATAATTAAGCTTCTCTTTTAGGTACATTGGAAGTAACCCATGTTTAATTTTATAAATAAAAATTAACGCATCCCGTAATAAGAGACTTTTGATTAGCATCCACCTCAAAGTTTCAAGCATTAGAATAATGGAAGTATATTTTGAACAGGGTAATATTATTCGCATAGCCCTATTCTGCAGCTTCTGTAGTCGGTTCAACTCATTTTGATTTAGTAAAAAGAGTATTGTAGAGCAATAATTAAAGTAAGGTAGAATTATAGCATTGTATATAATACATTTAGTCCACTGTGATAAGCCAAATGAACTTCTAAATAGGAAATTTTACCCCTAAGTATTTGAATTTTTCTACTAACTGTATAGAATTTTCTCCAATTGTTATGTTATATTGTTTATCAACAAACTGTGTACAGTTATAGTTGCTACTTATCAGCATACATTTTGTTTTATTTGTGTTAATTTTCAACAAATTATTGCAACACTATTTATAAACATGTTGCAGTGTTTGATTAACAACTCTTACCAAGTTATCTGAATCCTTACAAGAAAAATATATTAGGGCATCATCAGCAAACAGGTGAAGGTCACATTGACCCTTGAAATCAACAATGTCATTGATATACACTAAAAAACAACAGTGGACCCAATATACTTCCCTGCAGAACACCTCTGATATAGTTAATTCTTCTGACAAAATGTTATTTACTTTTAACTTTTGTTTCCTCTTACTTCCACTCCCATACTTTTCAATTTTTTTATCAAACGGTTTTGATCAACAGTCTCGAATGCCCTTTGAAGATCTATAAAAACTGCCAATGTTAGATAGTTTTTATCAAATTTATATTTCCAATCATATAAAACACACTGGATAGCTGATTCACAGTTATGTTTGCTTCTGAAGCCCGATTGTATTCTAGTAATAAGTTTATTTTGTTCTAAAAAATTAACAATTTGTTCTTAAACGACCTTCTCAATGATTTTTTCGATACAACTTAACATACTAATAGGCCTTAAATCTGTAGCTTTATTTGCGTTTTTTGTCTTTGGAACAGGCACTACCATAGCAATTTTTAGAGCATTAGGTATTTTTGAAATTTCTAATGACGAATTTATCAAATTTAATATTAATGTTAATGTCATCTGTGCTACTTTTATTTTTCATTGCGAAAATAATGTCTCTTAAAGAATCCACTGTACATAGTTGAAATTTTCTAAGAAAATGTCCATTGTGTCTGTCTAAAATTTGATAATCTGGTATTGTATGATCAATCATACTAGCAATCGATTGGATACTGTATGTAAAATTTATTTAGAGCATTTGGCATGTCCAAAGCATTTTTATAATAACATTATTTTCTAGTTCAAGTTCAATTAAGTTATTCGACTTATTATTTTTTGGAATGAGACATTCAAGATATTTCCACATTTTCTTTGAATTTCCCCTACTTTACGGCCCTATTTCTATGCATTTTGTATTCATTCCAATTATTTTCGGTTTTTTCTTGTGAATAATTTTTATATGATAGGTCTCTGTACCTTGTGGCAAGCTTTTACATTTTCATTCCACCATTTTTTGTATTTAGGAAATATTTTTATTTCTTTTTTTTTTTGGCGCTACAGAAATACGTTTAAAATATTTGTTACAAAATTATCATATTTTGCATTAATGTCATAAATATGATAGTTCCATGCTAATGTTGAAAGTTTGTTATTAATTAAATCAAAATTTAAGTCCTTACCTCTGGTTTCAATTTCAAAAACAGATCGTCCATCACTATTTAATAGCACATTTGTTAAAATTTGTGAAATTCTTGGTGTTTTGATAACCTCAGCTGAAACAGAGTCATTATTTGTTATAACTAAATCTATTAGTGTACCTCCACCACTTCTATTTGGTCTTGTGCATTCTGTAACAATATTTTTTAATCCAGTATCTATCACTTAATTTCGCTCTGTAAGCGTTTTTAAGGTCAATATTAAAATCTCCAGAAACAATAACTATTTGAGAATTATCACATAAATTTTCTTCAACCCAAGTGCTAAAAAAATTTAAAAAATCTATACAGCCACTGCTAGGTGACCTATATAAAGATACAATTTCCTAATATTACCATCACAGAAACAATCCAACAAATTTTTGGAATACAAAATTTAAAATATTTTAAAACCTTATATCTCATGGTTAATTTTTGATATTATGTAGTTTGCATGGTCTTTAAATGTTAACTCTCTATTTAGTACTGGTTTTTATTATTACAGAAGAAGCGCAAAAAACGTTAGAAGAGTCAATGGCGATGTCAATAGGCGACCATCAGGAGTTAGCGATGGATTACTATCACTCTCGCAACGGTTCAGCGAGTACGAACACTCTGAGTAACATGACGAAAAAGGGCACCTTGTCCCGGAAGCCGCCTCCTCACCAACCTCCTCCGGCTTTGGGGAAATCACCGCCACGGCCATCCCCCGCGTCCGTACCCTACAACTCCGACGAAGAGAGTTTGAAGGGTTACGACGAAAATCCGGACGATAGCAGCGTCACGGAGAAACCTTCCGAAATGAGTTCCTCTGATTCTCAAGTAAGTTTCTTTTACAAAGAAAGATGAGACGATTTAGATCCGAAAACTAAAAAGTACAATTTTTGAAAATATGAAAATTTATCCCCAATTCTTCCTACGAAATTGAGAATTGTATCCCCAAAGTGAAAACAAACCAAATATTTATTGAATAAGTTCATAAATAAAGAAAAGAGAAAATGAGTGCATCGGCCAGGGATCGAAGATGGAACCTGCGAGTATAGTCCTTGGCGTCTCTATCAATTGGACCACCGAGGCAGATAGCTGCAATAGTCGAATTTGTAGATTTCAAGTAGTCAGATTTCGACTGGTACACACACATTCTCCGCCTTATCTCCTAGCCATCTCAATCCTCCTTAAAACCACCCTTGCAGCATATAGAAGGACGCCAAGCCCAGCTTGTACCACTATAAATTATTCTAAGATCCTTCAATCGTTTGTCAGTGTTAAGTTTTTGTGTACGAGTCGTCGTAAACATGAAATGTCAAAGAAAGATGAGAAAATTGGTTTAGATCGGAAAACTTTATTTTTATTTTGGGAATGTAGGTATACATTTCTTAATTTCGTTGGAGGAATTGGGGATTAAATTATCACATTTCCAAAAATTGCAAGTTTTTTTTTGTTGATTTGGTCTTGCGTGACTTTTTTAGAGATTGTAATGTAGATATTTTACCATGAGAGTTGATTGCATAATAATATTCAATTTTGAATAGTATGTTTATTAACAAAATTAATTTTCCTTTATATGCTTTTGGTATTAATCATTTTTTTTTTTTTCAAAAAGTTAAAAATGAACGATTTTTTTATCATGCAGTATAATTAAATAATGACCTTTTTCTAAAATAAAACGCTTTCTCTCTAGAAATAAAAGAAAAAGCAAATTTAATTTAAATTAAAAAACAAGTTTGAGGCAAACTTTGATATTAGAAACTTTCAACTGACATGATAATTATACACTACAATAATGTTTGTACACAAAGGTGGAAGATTTGCAATTAAAAAACAAAAAACAATGACTCATTAAAAACTTCTTTTCAGTTAACTCAAATTCAAGTGGAATGTGGTTTGTATCAAAAAGTTTAGTTCAGACTTCTACAATAAAGTTTCATGTTATGGCGAAATGTAATATATGCTTAATTGCACCATTATTTTCTTTTTCTATACATATGCGTATTTTTATAAAACAAATTTTCAGTTAAAATTTTTATAATTATTTTAAAACCGATATTTAAACTTGAAAATTTGTTTCGATTTAACGTTTTGATTTAATTATGTTTATTTTTTATTTTTTTATAATTGAAACGTTTTTTTCTAATTTTAGCATGATACTTGCACATCTTCAACTTGATATAATTCAAGAATTATTATCTGTTTTTCAGCGTGGTACCATTTTATTTTTATTAAGATTTTTTAATGAATTTCGGTGTTTTCAAAATATGAATTTGATAATTTTTTATTGAAAAGTCTTTATAAAATTATGCTTTTTTTTATTCATTACACAAATATAGGGCGCCATTTTATTCCATTTCAAAGATCTACTTTTAATGATAATGAATACATATTTTAAAAATAAAATGAAGGCAAAACAATAATAATTGTTATAAATATGACCAATAAAAAAAATTATGTCAAATCTAAACTATAAAATTTTAAAATAATGGGTTATGATTTTTTGATGAAATAAATGCAAAGATAATATTTTTAATATCTATAAATCTAATATATCCTGTCAATTTTCCTTTGGCATGAATAGAACTTTTAAATGGAATAATAATTGTTGTTGAACTGAATATTATCGCAATTGAAATATAAACTAGTCACAAATAAAAGTTTATGTGTACCTTGTTTTAATTTCAGGAGATATCCTGCTGATCCACCTTATGTAACTTTTGTAGGAAGGATTTAAACAAAAAATAAAAAATTACAATTAATATTTAGAGGAGGAAATATTGTACCATATTTAGGTTTACCATTTTTTTTGTCTATTTTTGGATTCTTCTCATTGAAGTTGAAGGGATGATAGCAGGGATGACACAATATCTCCCCCTTCAAATATTAATTGACATTTTTTGTTCTTCAAAAGTTACTTAAGTTAGAAACTTTTATATGAAGAGTACTGTATATTTATTTATAAAAATTAGAATTAATCTGTTAACAATATTTTAACTAACAATATTTTTTTTACAAAGGACTAAGCTACTTCTTGAACGCTAGTGTTTACAGGTACAACTCAGTTCTGTGATAGTTTTTTAAAGTTACAAATCGACAATTTTATTAAAAAGGCTTCCTCGTCAACACCTCTTTTGCATTCTACCTACATGTTCTAACCAACGTAACATTTTTATTCTATTCTACTTGCCCATAATATAGCACTTTGAGTTCCGCATTTGTCCTCTCCTCCATTCATTTCCTTCTTCTCTCACTACTCCAAAGATTTTTTAGGATTGTTTGATCCCAGATATTCAGTTTATGTTCTTTCCCTTCTGTACAGTATTGTGGGTTGTATTACTGTTAGTTTTAATTTTGCTGTCCTTGAGATTTTTGTAACTTCAGTGTCTCTTGAAGAGCCCCGACTGCTCTACATCCTCTCGCCGATCGCTTCTCCAGATTCAAAAGATATATAGCGAGAAAAATTATGAAAAAATGCTTTCTCACCTTACATTTTAAAATATCATCCATTAAATAGTGTAAATTACCTTTATTTTGAATTTACTAATAAAGCGTAAAAATTATACAGGGTGTTCCATTAGTGCGTAATTGCTCAATATATGGATTTTAAAAGGCATATTTTAAAAATATTTTTGGATATACAGGATGTTACGTTTTTGCTTGGTAAATTAAAATGTATATTTTTTAATTGGAACATGCATTTTATTTAAGTTTTAGAATGGTCTTGTAATACTATATTAACAACGCTAAAATATTTTTTAAAAATGTTATAGGGTTGCCAAGCAATTATTTATTTTTTGCGATATTAAAGAATATACATCCCATCAGTGCTTACTTGACCAATAGCTGTTTTGTTATTGGAGATACAAAGACACTTTTAATACAAAAGTTGTACTACCATATTTTACAATTATTCCTAAATATACCTGGTATGCCGTAAATTACGGGCGAACCAAACTTTTTTAGACCAAATAATTTAGAAAACAGATTTGGTTTTCACATTGTTAAACAATTTTAATAGACTTAAAATTCTTAAAATGTTTTCTATTAAATTCATTTTTTCAAATGCAACACTATGATGTGCCACTTATTTATAAATACATTTCTTAATTTTTATTTTTTTTTTGTATTCCCTATACACAAACGCATTTTTTCTCAAGATTTTGATGGTTATATTATAAAAAAATTAACATTTTTTTAATTTTAATTGGTTTTAGAAACCTTGGTCAGTTACAAAACTACAAATAGGTGGGTTTAATTGATTTTCATAATTCTTTAAATAGAACAATCCTATTTTCAACTTAATTCCTCTAAAAATAAAAATGTTTCTCTTTATTATCATTAGTAGCTCTAGGCTACATAGTTTAAAACCTATAGATAATTACTGGCAAGTAAAACTTAAGTACTGTAACAGAGAGGTGAAGAATTATTAATTACGAATCTAACTTTATTACAGTTAAAAGCAAAAGAGTGGAGAAAACTCCTAAAATTTTTGTTAACCCATTTTTCAGAAATAATGGATGGTTTTCTGTTCTCCCGACGTCACAACTTTTATAAACCATTTCAAATAAAATAAAAAAGAATGTGTTTTGATATAAAGAATGCAAAAAAACATAATTTGATTATTTATTAATTGGTGGTATAACATACAGGGTATTCCATTTAAAAAAATTGGAATATCGTAAACTCGCATTTTGATACTCCATATATGCAACATAGCAAATAAATGAAGTCTATTAAAGTTGTTTGACGATGTGAAAACATAACATAACTACCTACAGGTTGTTTTGCTTTAAAAAAGTATAGGTTTGGTCAGTCCCTCGTTTATGTACCACCCTGTATATTTAAGAATAACTGTTAAGATACCCTGTATATGTGTAACATGGTATAATTGGATAGGTAAATTTATAAGAAATTTTATGCTAAAATAATATAGAGGGTGTTACATTAAAAAAAATTAGTAAATTGAACTTAAAATTAGCCATATTAAAGGCGTTTCAAAACAGTTCTATCACCGTTATTCGTTAGCTTGGTACAATATAAAATATAATATCTATATTTTAAATAATTTTGAAATAATATTAAACCTACCTCAATTATGATAATTTAATTTGGGGTCTGCATCATTCTCTAATTTCATAAAAAAATTAATTGTTTGGCAAACAGCAATATTTTTTAAAATCATTCTAAGGTTGAATACAGTATTACCAAATTATTCTAAAACAAATAAAATATAGGATGTTGTATTTAAAAAATATACATTTTTATTTGCCAAGCACAAACGCCTTGTATTTCCGAAAATATTTTTAAAATATGTATTTTTCAAATTCATATAACTTTTATTTCAAACTTGTTTGCGCGTGTTTATAACAAATTGAAATATTGAACAATTACTCTCTAATGGGTCCCTGTATAAATTTGCTGTGACTAGTTTTTGATATATAAGATATAAAATTTGGTAATAACAGATATGAAGAATGAAACTCGTTTTTTCACCACTCAAGCGATACAGTTGTTGATGTATATATTGCATGTATAGTTTTTTTTATTTAGTTAACTAACTGCAGGTAGCCTTGCTTAACTGCAGATATCAATATACAATAGTGAACCTGCTAAGTCGAACTGCTGCCCATGTATTGGGTTTCTTAATATATTATGCTAGACATTGACAAATATTCAGTATTTATCTACAATACTTGTTCCTAGAAAATGTTAACCAAAGCCCACAAATTCTGACAAATTTTAAGCGTCATTTAATCTGAAATTTTTTAATATTATTTAGAGATGGCATGCTTTATTTTAAATTAAGGTTTTCTTCATATTTAAAAAAATTAGTTTAAACTTTTGTTAGTTTTGTTCCGGAATTATTCTCGTAAAGGTATATAAGTATAATTTAATCCTTTTTAAAGATTTTAAATGATTTCAAATTCTGTTCTTTAAATGGAAGGGGATGGTAAAACACCAAAATAAAAAACGCACCAATAATTTACACCTTTGTGATGGTGAGGAAACGAGTTTAATTGTCTATATCGGTCGTTACAAAGTTTTATACCTCATATTTCAGAAACTGGTCATGTAACTTAAATTTATTAAGGGAAATTATATTAATTAATAGATTAGTTAGTAATAGTAAAATTATACTGTATTAGTAAACACAAAATAAGATAATGTAATAAAAATCCTGTTTTTCGTAATTTTTCTCATTATATATCTTTTGAATCGTAATGTATACTATAACATGCGATAAAAATAGTTAAAATTTTATTAACAGCAGCAATCAGGCTTTGAATTTCAGTCTGCCTTCCTTCGTTTGGGTTTCGCATAGCGGCACTGCAGCCTCACGAGCTTATTGTATCACCATTTGGGTGCCCTACTCCTTTATTCAACTCATGCAATCTACCCATACATTCCACTGTCCAGGTGGGCCCCTAGCTCTACGAATTCGGTCACTCATCCAGATCGAGGCTGGTACAGTAGCTGCTGCACCTGTGATGGGTCCTTTGAATACCTTGTAAAAAATGTCATATTCCCTAATTTTGTTTATTTAAATCGAGGCTATTTCAGCGCAATATTTATTTTAAGAATAATTCCATGCTAGAGAAAAAATTAAAATTCTATTTTTATTAATTTGTGACTCTCCCTGTAACTGTAACTTATAATAATTTACGTCATAGGTTGTACTGAAAATATTATTTTACATCTTAGAGAATGTCTGTAATCAAAGTATTTTGCTAAGCAATGCCTTTTTAAAAAATTGTCAGTTTGCAAGTTATATTAAAATCTAGTCATAGGTTGAGTTGTGTCCATCAGCCTTGTCCTTGGTCCTATACAGGGTGGGGACTTTAACTACCGCAAATTCGCTACAGCTTCAGGTTGAAAGATGCGGATAAAACGCAAAAACACGTCAATTGAGATTTTTGTAAGCTTTCCGGTAATACCAAAAAAAAAAATTTTCCCCCCTTTAGAGGGTGAAACTCACCCCGACCTAATTTTGTTAAATGGGATGGTATCACTTGCGGCACCTTGTTGGAAAGGTCTTTCCAAAACAAAATTGATTGTGCCATTTTTTTTTTTCATTTTAACTGTTATGCTATTTTCTAGCGTGAAAAAAGAAGAATCGGGGACGAAATTCAACAAAAATTAGTTGTGCATAAACTCGGCTCTAAAATTATAGTCAGTGTGTTTTATCTTAAAAATTTACACAAAAATCAACCATCTACATGGTTAGGAATACCCAAATTAATCAAAGAAACATGAAAATGGAAGGTAATTCATGGAAAATTAAGTTTTGTTTTACATTTAAATAAAAAATAATACTTATTCTACTCGCTAAGTGGATTTATTTCTTTTTATTTTAGCAACTGTTCAAAATGAGCACCATTTACTTCTTCACAAAGAGCAACACGGTGGTAAAATTCAGCTTGAAGCCTTCTTAATGTTTCTGGTGTAATTTGCCGAATTTCTTCTCTAATTCTATCCTTTAGCTCTTCAATTTTATTGGGTCTTGTGGCGTATACCTTACATTTTAAGAAGCCCCATAAATAAAAATCTAATGGAGTAAGATCAGGAGATCTAGCTGGCCATTCAATAAATCCCCATCTTCCAATCCACCTGTTCTGGAAAAAGTCATTTAAGAACTGTCGTACATTGAGAGCGTAATGGGGTGGAGCCCTATCTTGTTGGAAGAAAATTCTTTGATCAATGGTTCCATCTTCTGTCGGAAACGTTCGGATAAGTTCAAGTATTCCAAATATCTGTCGCCGGTTAAATTTTGGTCAAAGAATATGGGTCCAATAATTCTATCTCCAATTATTCCAACCCATACGTTGATTTTTCCTTGATATTGACTATGCTGCTCAACTATCCAATGTGGATTTGTTTCTGCATAGTACCTACAATTTTGATGATTTACCTAAAAATGAAGACACAAAATTTAAAGATCTACGTTCCTAAAGCGTACAACCTAATCAAAAAGACTCACCTCTCCAATTAAGGTAAAAGTTGATTCATCGGAAAACAATATCCAATCCGGTAAAATATTTCCATCATCGATTTGTCTCATTATGGTTTCACAAAACTCCACCCTCCGATCGGGATCATTTTCCATCAACTCATGCACAGTCTTCATTTTGAAGGGTCTTTTCCAGCAGATTTCAAGATAGCCAATACAGTTTTATGGTATTAAATCAAATTCCTACTTACTCGTCTGGCAGAACTGATTGGATTTTCCTCAAATGTTAGAAGAACATTTAGTCTAGTGTCTTCGTCTACTCGTTGTGGCATTTCTCGAAGAATTTGCCGTAAATGCCCGTGCAACCTGAAATGAGCCTCAATTTTGCCTACTGAAGCCCGGTGTAACGGAGGCAATTCTGGATGTCGCGCTTGAAATAATGCCGCAACTTCTGCTTGGGTACGCATCCGATCCCCGAACCCAATCGTCATGAAAATTTCTATTTTCAAAGTTTCCGTTAAATACGCCGGCATTTTTAACGAAAATGAAGAATACTAATTCGACAGACAATAAATTGATTCATTGCAACCTTACAATTGATAAAGATGCGATATTTTTTTTGTACCTATACTTACCTTCATTTCTTCCGAGTCCATTTTTTACAATAAAAAATCCAAATTGAGATAAAGCGGTTTATACACTTTTCTAAAAACAAATTGAGAAAATACTGACCACTTAAAACTGTATCTTAGAATGGAGAATTTTTTGATATGAAATAATTTTTTCACGCTAGAAAATTACCATTGGGTAAAAATGGAAAAAAATGGCACAATCCATTTTCTTTTGGAAAGATCTTTCCAACAAGGTGCCACAAGTGGTATCATCCCATTTAAAAAACTGATGTCGGGGTGAGTTTTACCCTGTAAAGGGGGTGAAAAAAAAAGTTTTTTGGTATGACCGGAAAGCTTACAAAAAAACTCAATCGACGTGTTTTTGCGTTTTATCCGCATTTTTCAACCTGAAGCGACTTTGCGCCAGTTAAAGTCCCCACCAGCGTAGCAGTTTAAAAACTTATTATGGTTGTATATCACGTACTAAAGATGATTTCAGAAAAGTAAAACGTAATAAACCAATTTTTATTTTGTACTCCTGGGTTAGAAATATTTAATTCAGATAAACATATTCTTTTTAAATAGGGTATAACTTATATCATTGAAAAACATTTTTACTAGCTTTCCAATGATGAATGGCAATTATGGGGTTGCTATTTTTTGTTTTCTGAGATAGGTTTCGCATCAGTATTTTATTGAAAGAATTTTTTTTTATTGAATCCAAAAAATAAAAGATTTTATACATATTCATCCTCATATAGGTATTAAATTAAATTTTTTAAGAAAAAGCAAACAAGATCACAGAATGAATTTAATCATTAAATACTAAATACAGTTTTATTTTCTTTCTTAATCATATTTAAGTTTCCCCTTCATATAAAGTGTTAAGCATTTTCTGTCTGATATGATCTTAAGTTCATGAAATATGGCCATTGTAAGTTAAATTTCTACCCCTTATATTTCTAAACATAGAGTATAGTAAATTATTTTTTAAATGCAATGTAGATCTAATTATACAGATTTTTCCTAAGGTTTAAGGTCAACTTTCTAATTTTTAAGACTAGTAATCGTTTCAATTACGATAGTTTGCAGTTTTAATAACAAAACAATGCTTTTTTTTATTTACCAAACACGTTCATTAACAACGACTAAAATGTTTTTCTCTTCTAGGGTTCAGAGAGTGAGAACGAAAGCGTTCGTTCCGACCCCCACTCCTTCGTGAATCACTACGCAAACGTCAACGATACGTTACGACAATCGTGGAAACGTCAAAAACCAGTTCGCAACTACTCGAGTTACACGGATTCGGAACCAGAGGGCAGCGCTGTCGTCAGCCTGAACGGGGGTCAAATCATCATGAACAACATGGCGCGGTCGAGAGCTCCCTTGCCCGGTTTCTCTTCTTTTGTATAATAAAACGTGTGTCATAAAAATAAAATACAAACGGTAGCTGAAAATTTGACGATATTTTAATCAACTTTCAATGTGATCTATTTATTTAGTTTTTTTTTTTTTTTAAATAAGTTAGGTGTAAACGGCGCGTGTAAATAGTATATATTTGTCGTTATATAGTAGGATTTTTATTTATTTTATGCGGGTTTCGGATTTAAGGGAAGGCGAATAAGTAGAATGCGGATAATTTCTACTATCGAGGTTATTAAAATGGTTTATATCAAAATTTTGGTTATAAATAGTTGTGAATTACAACTTTATGATGTAAAAATTAAATTCTATTAATTTTCTAGCGCGCCGTCCACAACCAGTGAAAATTGTCATTAAGGTAGCTTTATTATTAATTTCAAGTAGGTATTTAATGAATGAAAAAAAAATGTGTTATTTGTCCAAATGGCAAAAAAGATGTCATTTTTTGGTTTGCTAAAGATACGTAAAATTTGCTATTTTTTAACAATTTTTGTGCTGTAGAAAACTGTTTAACTGCATAGTATCAACGATTTTGTTTTCTCGTACAATCGTTTGGATTTCGCTGGTAACATATTTGAAATTACAGCCTTTTGCATATCTCAAATAGAGATTGTCTCTATTACTTTCAAGTTCGTAATCCATCCGTTAAATTATCGGGCATCGCTAAAATTGAAGTAATTGTTTGACAGTTCAAACTTCAAAACGAATACATAAAAATTATGACGTTTCATAGAACCGGAAGCTACGGACTTCCGGTTCTGACACCGACATGTCAACATCGAAATGGTGGTCTCAGAATCGGGAGTCCAGTTTTCACAAACTATCAAATTTTAAAGTTACCATCTGACTTTTAAATTCTTACTAAATCCTATACCGAAGTTTCAAATACATATATTAGTAAAAGTGAGTGGGGATTCGTGGTTTGAGAGTCCTGGTGTGACTTTTCATTCATTCATTCTTTTTTCAATAAGAAAAAAATACGTAACATTGGTGATACAGGGTAAGCTAAACCCATTGATCCATTTAAGTGATTTACCACTTTAAAGTTAATTTTAATGAAGTGGGAATGGTGTTGTTAACAGGGTCCTTGTGTGACTGTCTAGGCATGCTATTCTCACTATAAAAAACGTAAAATTGGGCAGACAGTGAAAGCTTAACCCATACAAAAAGTAGAAGAAGAAGAAGAAGAATACTTCTATGGTTACAAAAGTCGAAGTAATGTCGATCGGAATTTTTACATGAAAGCAATAAATCGAAATGAAACAAATTTTTACACATGTATAATAATTGTTTATACAGTTGGACAAAAAAATATGAAAGTCTCATGTGCAGCTAAAAGGATACTGATAAAATTTATAAGATTAATTTCGTTAAAATTGGTTATAGTAAACATTTCCATTATTCTTTTGTGGCTTTTGAAAAAAAAAAGAAAACTATTCATGGACAGCTGGAAAAAATATATTTTTTTTTGTTGATGAAAAGGAAATATCACTTTGTCTTAACTACAGTAAAATAAAAACCTTTCTGTCGATGATCATCATCCGACCTATTTCTTGTAAAAAAAATATCGCAGAATCATTTTATTAACCTCCAAAAAACTTCCCGTCTCATAGATTTTCGTGCATATAATAATAAAAAGAAAGTCTGCTGTAAAACGATTTATTTTAGCTAATTATTTAATACTTGGACCAAATGTAGGCGTTTAATTTTTCAATTGAATGGATCTCCCTATTTTTCGAGAGATATTTTTATTATTTTTTATCTATATTTAATATAATATATTAAGAAATATTGTCAAATTTTCAAATATTTATTAGTAATTTCTACAAGACTTGAATGTTAACTAAAAATTTAGGACTTAATTATACCTTGTACATATTATTTTTATCGATAGGAGAAAAATTGTTACTCTTTTTACGACTTTCAAAAAATCTAGGTAAATATAAAAATTATTGTATATATTTCATTCACTATTTTGCCGATCATTTTCAAGATATCTCATGGTAACTTTTATTGTTTGCGGCAAAATTTACTACAAAATTAAATTAATTATAGTTATGTTCAATTTAATATTTTTATATAAATTTCAAATGTTTTAAACTGTAAACCATTACATTTCGTTTATCATATCGTTTCAAATGTCTGTTTGAAAATTAAACCAAGGAGCCCAAAATACAGCCAGCATAAGTTAAAATGTTCTAGATTCAGATATTATTTAGATAATTCTTAAAAAAATAATATAGAGTCGAATTTAATGACATTTTAGAAAAAGAACACTTTTTGATTCAATTTCGAAAATGTAAAATTAAAAAAAGGCATTCAATTAAGGTATTAAACAACAGTGGCGGTTTGCCCGTAAGGGCACTTGGGCACGTGCCCTAGTATAATAAACCAAAAAAAAAATTAATAATTTTATATTTTTCTCAACGTCTATTATTATTTTATCTAATATTCAGCGCAAACCGCGTTGGCACGACACTGGACAACCGGGCGTTGAGCGACGTTCCGAGAATTCCGAAATTAAGTGGAAGATGGACACAGGGCACAGTAAATATGTGCCTATGTTGTTTTCTCTCTCATTATGCGAAAAACAAGGACAACGACAATATCGCTTAGCAAGAGATGAACACATACGATGGATTATACGTCACAAGCGGGGCGCTGTCCTCATCGTGACGTGCTGTACTTATGGTTTATTTGTTTACCTTCAACTTAGCGCTGCCGGGTGGTTTTGCTTGTTGATCTTTTGGGGCCGTAAATTTCGGTAATTCGTTTTGTAATTAATAACAACTGATGCATCAACTCAAATGCAGATAGTTTTGATAATCAGATGTGTAAGAGACGGTTTTGGTGTTTTTTGAGACCAATGGATCACACTGCAGACGGGCTTTCGGCGGCAATTCTGGAGGTATTAAGTGAACTAGGAATTGACAAAGTACCTGAAAAACTAAGAGCACAAAGTTACGATGGTGCTTCCGTAATGAGTGGTATTATTGGAGAGGTACAAGCTAAAATTAAAAACATCTATGCAAATGTGTGTAGTTTATTTCCAAACGTAAACAGCTTAAAATTCAAAAACGAACTGTCCATACTTTACACCCGAGATGACTTTGTGCAACACAAGTGTGCCGTACCGTTATTACAAATGTTTTTTGAGAACAATTTGACAATTACATTTTCGGAATCTGTGGAGCTGCTAACTATCCTGTGTACAATTCCCATGACTACAGGAGAGTAAAAGATGTTTTTCGACACTAAAACGTATTAAAACATTTTTAAGGAACACTATGTGCCAAGATAGATTGTGCGCGTTAGCCATGTTATTCATCGAAAAAAAACATATTCAGTCCATTCCAAATTTTAATAATCTGGTTAACGATCACTTTGCTAGCCAAAAATCCAGAAGATTGGATTTCAACTATAAGAAATAGTATACAACTGCAGCGGTACCTAGCAGTTAGTCTTCAATTTTGTAATGTTTAATTTGTTTTGAAATATATTTAATTTTCATTAAGCGGAGAACTTGTTTTCTTAAGGGAAAAACGAATCCCGGGATTCCTTTCCAGTGTGTGCCCCACTGCCGCTAGTGCCCGCGAGCCGCCACTGTTAAACAACTATAAAGGAATGTTGCAAATGGAGAAATATATTCGGCATCTCGAAAAACTCGAAAAAAAAGGGTGTAGGGATAGGGAATGGGTTACTTTTTACTAAACATCAGCAAATTTACATCTTTGATCGTAAGTCTCAAGTTCTTCCCATAGTTTAGTATAATTATGTATCTATTTTTGTTTCTTTCGATTTGAAGTTTTAAAATGTTATAGTAATTTTATAAAAAATTGAGATTGGTCAAAAAAAAAACGAACTCAGGGTGGGGCAGAATAATGAGCGATTTTAAAAAGTCTGTAAAAAAAAAGAAAATCAAGTTTTACAAATAAATTTGCTATTTTGTTAAAGAACATAACTCCGGGAAGATGCTGTCCTTTCAGGCGTACACATTCTTCCAAACGTGATCTGAAATTATTATTTATTGTGGTGAGTTATCTTAAAACACTTTACTCCACAAGAAAAAATCGCATGTTTTTAGGTTTAGTGAATGAAGAGGCCAGGTGATGTTCTCATTTCAAGAAATCACATGAGTTGGAAATAACTCGTCTTCACACCGTACGCAAGCTGCTGAGGTATTGCGTCTCTACCACCTCCTAATGATACAGTGTTTGCCGGGTTTTTTAAAATCGCTCATTATTCTGCCCCACCCCGTATTAACTCTCTTATTCCCATTAATATAATTAACTTATCATTTCATTCAGGCATCTTACAAAAGAAGAAGAAATTAATTGGGACCAGGGGGGGAGAACTAAATCAATTACTTGTCAACACGTATTTGTTTACCAAAGGATCGAGAACATGATATCACTTTGAAAGTAACCCAACCTTATCTACTTATGTAAGTATGCCATGCACATTTGCTATAAAATTTTAAACCATCGTATCGAAAGAATTGAAAATGCACTAATTAAAATAATTAAAATCATTCGGGAATTTTATTTGTCTAAAAAAATTATAATCCGTTGGTCAATTATTAAACATCTTTCTTAAAAAACATTTTTCAGTGGGTATTTACATATATTTTAAATTGTGAATACAATAGAACCTAAATCATCATCGATTTGTCAAAATTATTGATCTTTATTCTTTTCTTCTGCTTTTAAGAAGGATTTATTACATCTATTAATATAATTAATAGTAGAAATTTAAATATTTATTAAGAATTTGTTCTATCAGACATTTAATATTTTCGTAATGTTTAATAAATGTTTAAAATAACTTAACCAACATTAAATTATTAACACGTGACAACACTGGCTCTTCCTATGGTCTGCCTGTTGTATCCAACACTATTTGATTTAAATTGCTGCCGATGGGATAGTCCAGGTCGTCTATATCAGTTTATCTCGCGAGATAGAGAAATATAATCAATTGATCTACTGTATATACATAATTAAGTCGTAATGTTTAATAAAAAATATTTAAAATAATCTAACCAACATTAAATTAAATAATAAACACCTCACGAGGACACTGGCTCTTCTTACTTTTTACGTGTGCAGATACTCTTTGAATGCAATTGCCTTCGATGCGATAGTTTAGTTCGTCTATATCAGTTGATCACAGCAAAGAACAGAAAAATATTCAATTGAACTACTGCATTCCGATAGAGAGTTAGGTCGTAATATTTTTAGTATTTTATCCATGTTGTACTATTGTTAAGAGGCATAGGTATGACATACGCTTGATAGCGACTCCATTTTTGAATTGTATTGAAACAATGTAGGATTTTTTTTTGAGCATTTTCAAACTAATGCCGAATTCTTTCTTCAATTTGCAGTGTCCTTGTTTAATACAATTATACATCGTTGTTTTTTATCATTTTAAAATCATCCGAACTTAAAATATGAAGAACTTACTATTCACTTAAATAATGATTTTTTTTTAAATTGAATATTTCCATTTATTACTTATTTTAGTTTCATATAAAAGTCACCATGACATAAATATTTGAAAAATGAAAAAAAAAGAAGAGCAATTACCAGATTCTTTATCGACATATCTTATTTTTAATGAAATTTAAAAGCTATGCAAAAAATAAATATTGCACTAATTATTATATTTAATTTGTAAAGCTATTAAGGTAAATGCTCCTTTTTCATTTTTTTCTTTTTTTTTTTTGAAAATGAATCGGCTGTCTTTGTGATCAAACCATCACAATATTTCATTTTTCATATAAATGCATTCTAGGAAATCACTGCTCAATATGTATGTATATTTTTTTATTGAATCTTGGCTATTGTAGTAGATTTGCTTCAAGAACTGCTAGTTTATGGAATGTAGGCTAAAATGCAGGTAGAAAACGTTTTGTTGCTGATAATTTTCATTTATTGAATTGATGATGAACAGTAAGTTTGGTAAAAACAATGTTATGGTAAATAGATAAGAAAAAATAAATTCGGTATGAAATAATGAATTTTTGGTCCATGTTTCCCTATTCTTTTCTTGATCTGCCCTTCTTTTTCTTAATCATCCCTATTTTCGACAATTCCTTTTGGAATAGGCCCTACAGGTGGATGTGGGTCTAACTATCTAAACCTTATTTATAATTTCTTTATCAACTGTCATTTTCATTTATTCAGTTTTCCTTAAGATAGTCTCTCATGTGTTTCTAGTTTTATATTCATGTTTTGTCAAATCCCATATCTAGATCTGTTTATTCAAAAAGTGCCTGACACTTGGGATGCTGGGCCTCGAGTCGCAGTTTTGTCAAAATCAACATGAGATAACAGGAGATATAGCTATTCATTGATAAAATGTAATATTCGTGACGATACCACAGTATAAATAATTCTATACGGTCCAGTTGTAGATCAGGAGTGAAGAGACATGAGGTGCAAGGTATGGGAAGGGATAAAATGAAGGAATCAATGAATGAAAGAATCGATGAATATATGTGCAAGCCATTGCACGCCCATAATAAAAAACCTACAAAATGCAAGTCGTGGTGTCACATCTAGTACAAAATATTTGTTATTCAACTCAACATTAACTAGATTTTGGAATTTATTGAAAATTATTACATCTAATTTAGTGAAATTACATCTTATTTAGTTAAATTTTACATAACTAATTCTTCAAAATTTTTTGGGTTCAGTTGCAATAAAATAGGTTGAATTATTTTACCTTTTTTTAGGATATGTAAATAATTTTGTAAACCAAACGAGAATAATGAAATAGGCATGACAACAGCGGGTATTATACCCTCCTGGGTCCCTTAGAATATGTCTTATTCACGACAGAACGA